CCAGAACTATCGATCACACGGAAAGGTAAGAGCAATTCCGCCGATTCACAGAACAGAGAGTCGTGTGGCTTCGTGAATTTGCGTGGATTCGTAAGATGTTTGGTGGAGAATACGTTTGGATAAACAGTAGAGAGCAAAACCGTGGCCTCATTATAGGTTTGATTCGGGCGCTTCCGAGGAGTTCTTGACTTCCGCGTCGAGATTGCGAGCTGCGTATTGCTTGATTCAGAGAGCGTCGAAGAAGGCGACGAAGTTTGAGAAGTCCTCGTCCATGAAGAAGATGGAGATTTCACAATTTCCAGGTCGAAATTGTAAGCTCTCCCACCGCCGCTTATACATGGAGAAGACATTATTGTTCCTGTTTGGATACCGAGAAAAAAAAATCTCAAGAATTCAGAGAAAACCCAACCCCTGAAACTCCAGAAAAACTCAAAAATTCCATCAGAAATCTGAAAATTGGTGGAAATGAGCTTAAACCCCTAAACCCTAGCCATGAAAATCCACCCAAAAGAAATTCTGTCACTCGCCCAAAAGGGGGACAGTACGGAAGAACTCGCCAAAAAAAGAAAGAAAAATCAAACCAAAACCAAAAACAACTCTTCAAAACTCCCAACTCTATCTCCCTGTTTCTGTTTCTGATTCTCGAACTTCCATGGGAGCAAAGGACACCATGAAAGTGGGAAATATCTGAGAAAAACAAACCTAAGTTACCCAATAAAGAAAACAAAGAGTCTGAGACTGAGAGAGAATAGTTGAGAAGAAGAGAGAAGAAAGTCACGAGGTGGAGAAGATAAAAGGGAAAGATCCGTTGGGTGGGGCGTAGAAATAGGCATAGTGTAGAGAGAAACAAACAAAGAATTTTTTCTCTCGTCTGTGAATTTGTTTTTGCATTTTGGGCGATGGAGATTACTAGATGGAACACAACAGAGAACGAGACAATACTCGGTTCCTGCAGTCCCAGTGGGGACGACTGACTTCTCTTCCCCCTTTTTTTTTTATTAATTTCTTTAATTTATTTTATTTGTTATGTCACTGGTACAATTATTCCCATTTACCCGATTTACCCCTCCTCTTTTCAAATATTAACCAAACAAAAACATCTGAACAGTAGAAGAATTTGGTCTGGATTGAATGGGATTTGTTTTCTTAGCAACAATTTTATGGTCCTTTGCTTTTACAAAAGTGCATTAGAATATTTATAAATGCAGATGGCATTGGGGGATAGGGTACTACAATTTTAGTCACATATATATACACGTAAGGATAACATCTTCTTTAATATAAAGTATTTAAGATGAAACTACATGTTAAGCGACAATATTATCGTACTACTGTGAAAATGTGAAGCGCATGTTGTCTTCATGGTATCATAACGAGTAATTACTTGGTCTTTCGTGCCTTTCCTTTTAAGTAAAAATTTCATTAATGTAATTTCCATATTCTGGTTTGGCAAATTTGTGACAACTTTGTTTCTATTACTTTTTCTGGCATTTCTTATTAAAATGATACTATAAATGAATTTGACCTCTGTTTTGGCATTATACCTTTTTAATTTAACATAATCAAAACAAAATACTCTTTTTTTTTTTAAATTCAATATGCAACCTCCAAATATTAAAACTTTCACCAATAAAAAGAATCATTTCTAAATTACATTTTTAAAATGTAACTAAGAACAAAACAGAACAGAATTCATTTAGTTAATTTTTTTTTTTTTTTGAAAATGCCTCTCTTATATGTTAAAGTTAAATCTCCCCTCTCTATTTCTGTAAAAAATATATATATGATATAATGACAGTTGCACCAACAAACAATGGGGCATGGCATTAAATTTGACACCGCTAGAAGGGGCATATCGGTAATTAGGGCCCGGAACGGGAGCGAGAGTTTGCATATCCGCTTTCCAGAAAGCCGGTGCCAAGTAGGCAAGGGGGCATATTTCGTGGGTTTCTTATCTGATGAGGTGGCAGGTGGTGATTGGAGGAGGGAGATTTTAGTAGGGCTGAGGTGGCAGAAGGATGATGGGGTTGGAGAGGGGTCACGTGCATGAAAGAGGGTGACGTGGATGATTTGTCTGAAGGGAGCAATGATTGGGACCTTTTTGGTATCTTTTGAGGGATTATGTGTGGCAATTGGCAATCAAACGTTGGGCTTATTACCTTCAATCACTTGTGATTACGTTTCAAAAAATCAAAAATAAAATTTTTTAAATCTCTTTTAATTTTCATATATATTATATAATAATTCTTGCACTTTTTAGATATTTCTGCAAAATATCCCAACCCTTTTATTTTATTGGTGGGATAATAATTTAAAATTTGTGCAAAATTAAATAGACTTAACAAATGGTATAAAGTAAAATATCTCAGCCTTAGGTACAAAAACAAATTTTTAAAACTACTTTTTTTAATTTTTAAAATTTGGCTTAAATTTTAAAAACAATTTTTAAAAGCAAATGCAAAACAAAAAAATCAAAGACAAAATGATTATCAAACATGGTTGAAGTGTCGAGACTCATCCATGGATAATAATCATATAAATAATCAAATCAACACAATAATTCAACCCGTCAAGCTACAATATAATATTTTTATGACTTTGATATTACTTAATTTTCTATGCATAATCTTTCCTTTTACTACACAAATTCAAACCAACAAATTTAAAAAGTCATTTAAATATCAGGATGGTGTAATTGTGATATCTTATCTTATCACTTGGAAGCGAGATTGCAAATGGAGATTTATTGACCATAAGATTGCTAATCCTAGATTTCATATATAGTACAAGAAGAAAAAGGCCTTTGATCTTATGGTAACCAAAGCATACACTCAAGCAATTTGAAATTCACAAATGAATTAGGACAAAAAAGGAAAAAGAAAGAAGAAAAAAAAACCTTATCTTTTATATGAGGATGAGATGGAAATCTATGAGCCTTTGATTTTGGATAAAGACAAGGATCTGGTTTTTGGGATTGGCTCATTCTCTTTGTATACAGCCCAACTCATTAATTAACCCTCTCATGCACCTGTCAGATTTTATCTTCTCTCTTCCTTCCTTCACATAATGCTTAAACTTTGTGTGTTTCTTTAAAGAAAGAAAAATCTCTTTCCAATTTTCTTTTTTTTTTTAAAGGTTAAGTATATTGTAGGGAAAAAATATAGATTTAATAACATGAGATCGATGGAGATGTACACATGGAACAAAGAGAACTATATATCAATAAAGTTACATGATCAAGAATAGTAACAAGAAAGTCAATAATAACCGCAAATAAAACAGACAAATAGCAACAAAAACACCACATACTTCGTAAAAGAGATAAAAACATAACAAGTAACGACTCATTTAAAAAAATAAATCTCAAGCAGAGACCCTTATTAATGGTCGAAAACTAAAACGAAAGCTATCCCACGTGCCAAGTAGTAACACGARCATAAAAATCATATTGAACATTGTCTCTTTCCAATTTCATAAGAGTAGAAAGAGATTTTAAGTACTAATTAAACCAGTTGAACCGAAAAAAGATTACTAATTAAACCAATAAGAGAAAAGGCAATTTAAACATAGTTCAACTGGTTAATTAACACCTATCTTATAAGACATCTATCTCCATCCAAAAGATCGCGAGTTTAAATTTTCACCCTTAAAATTAATATATATATTTTTAAAGTTTTCAGGATACTTAGTTGAAAAGTTGCAATCGCATAAAATTAATATATATTCTTAAAAATGTGTCGAAATTATTTTTTTCCTCCTCAAATATAGATAAGTGTGACCTTAATTGAATTTGATTTTGATTTGGATTGTGCTATTAGGATAAAACTTCAAACTTTCTTCTATATTTAAAAATACATATTTATTTTATTAAATACCTTTATTTAATTTAATTTATATAATTTTTTTTAAAAGGTTTGTAGAGAAAACATTTTTAAAATTCTAGACTTTTTTTTTTTGTCCTAAACGATGTCAGCTATGTTCATTGACAAAAAGTTTCAAGTTAACCAGTTTAACAATTTTATTTCCTTAACAAACATTTAAAAACTAAATAAATAGACCCTTTGATAATGATTTTGTTATTCTTCTTTCCCTTGAAAAATGAAAACTAGCTTTCTTTACTAAAAATTTTCAGTGTTTTGAATTCTATTTCTTAAAAACATTTTTTTAAATTCTAGAAATTTTTCCCTTGAAAAAAGAGTTTTTAAAAAATTGGTCTTTGAAATTTGTTAAATATTTCCAAAAGATTTTATTAAAAAAAAAAGTGGAACTAAACAAAGAAAGTTGCTAGGAAATCATTGTAATATTAAAAATTAAATACTAAAAACAAATTTGTCTCAGACAACCATTTTAAAAAAAATATATATATATATATATATATATATATATATATATATATATATGTACTATGTAGCTTCCTTTTGAAATTTGAGTAAGAATTTGAAAGTACTAAAAAAGTGAAAAGCAAAGCAAACAAATTACGAGAAAACAAATTTCAATTTAAAAAACATACATTTTAAAACCTTTCAATTTTGAATTTGAACCTAGCATTATATAAAGAACACAGCAACCAAAAAAAAATAGTACGCATTTTTTTCTCTAGAACATTGTCGGAGGATAAGATAATACAACATGTCATCATGTGAAGAGTTAGGGAAGGTTGATGTGTGAATCTTCCCTCCGTAATCTCAATTTTGGAAACTTATGGAGCCCGACCTATAGATCTCGACCAACTATGACTCTTAGCTCGGTCACACCATCGTTGGTTGAGCGGATCCCATGTGCCGAGCTAAGGAACTCGACTGCCTATAATTTAATTATTCACAGTCTAACGGAACGATTATGAGGGTCCCATTTATTGACATCGTATAAATAGAAACACCACTCTGACTCTATGTTCAGAGTCTGATTCCTTAACTTGTGATTTAAGATAGACATCTTATTGACTTGGGGGTCCAAGTGTCTCTTTCCTTTGTACATTCCTTACTAAATTTGCTTTGAAAGCTTGGCCATACCCAATCCATATACCAGTTCTCAAATCAAATCGTAATTCATCGTAAACCAACCTTAATAATAAGAAAAAATAGTTAACAAACAAGCACTTAATTACTTATATACGTTTAGTCTCTAACAATTCACAGGAGTTGAAATTTTAAAACCTGAGTATTTATCATAGGTGGGTAAAAAAGTTATTTGGAACATAAAATTTTTTTATCGCCAACTTTTTAAAGATATTTTTATTGAGAGAGAGAGTTAAAAAGCAGGCATAAAAGAATTAAAAAAGCGTGATCTATAATTATCTAATAATTATTCAAATTTAGATATTTATTATCTTCAAATCTCATGTTTTAACCCTCCAATATTTAATATCTATACACATGAAACAAAATCCATTGGAATCGTAATTGCATATCAAAATCAAATTAAACCTCGTTTCTCCGACATACTCCTTAGCTACGCCATCGTATTTATCTGAACTGTAAATTAATTAGGAGGTCATTCAACCCAAAATTACTCCAAGTCAAGAAAGCTTAATTTTAAAGTTCTTATGATTGAGTCATAGAAGAGAAATGTGCACATTATTAATACAGGTTGTAGTGACTATCAATTTTTTTGAATATTTTTTAATCGCGCTTCCATGATTTCAGAATCCTTCCTATTCGGATGTGGTATTGATTTATCCATTTACCTGGTTGACAACCTTTTTTTCTCATAATATATATATATATATATATATATATATATATATATAAGTATATAGAATTGATAGTCAAATTTTGATTAACAAATAGAAATAGAAATTTTGCATAGTATAAGAAAGAGAATTGATAGTGGTGAAGGGGAAAGTTCCAAAAAGGTCTTTCTTTTTCAATCACAGATTTGGTGTTTGGAAAGATGATATGGGGTTATCCCATTTTGGCCTTTCTCATCATGGAAATTGAAACCCATTCCCTTTTGAATTTATAAAATAAATATTTCCTCATCAATATCTTCACTGTCAAAAAATATGGGCAAAAGTTTCAACAGCATGGGAATCTATTTTTTTGAATATCCATTTTTGGGTTCTTTGTTTATGCAGGGATGTGCACAACAATGTGTTCCTGATTGTAGCTCGAACTCGGCCTCCGGACCGACCTGAACACTTGGGCGGATCTGCACAAAAAGGTGAGCACTCCGACGATCAAGTCAGTATAGGTCGGATTCCAAGTTTAGTTCGAAGCCAGAAATCGTCGTACCTGGGGAGTGAGGTCCTCTACTTATGGGTGGTGGTCCCGCTAATCTAGCGACGGTTACATTCAGCAATCTCGGGACCGTCGATTTCACCCGGTAATCTCGGGACCGACGGTTACGCCCGATAATCACGTCGCAGACAATTGCTCATCTCGGCCCCTACCGAGCTCCCCGATAGGTCAGACCTGGGCCAGGTTCACCTCGGCCCTCATACTTGGCATTTGTCGGTGTTGGTGGCGGCCATCTCGGCTCTCCGAGCTGGGCATGACTCATGAGCCATCTTGGAGCACCAATAGGGGTCCTCCACGTGTCCAGGGTATTCCCTTCCCCAAACATTCTTAGTTTTTGGCTTTGATTAAAAAAAATCATGTGTTTGCAAAAATGTTGAATTTAGTTCATTTATTTATGTACCATTTGTGTGTTGCTTTTACCATAAAACACTATCAATTTTGTGATTAGTAAAAATAAGGTTTAAAATTCATTTTTGTCACTGTAATTTCAAAATATTTGTTCTGGTTTATGTACTTTTAAAAATGGATTAATTTGGTCCTTATTTATAAAATTTTACCAGAAATTTTATAGACAATAGAAACCTTTTAAATTTAATATAAATGTATGTCTAGACTAAAATAAACAAAAATTTAAAATGCATCGACCAGAATAAATATTTTGAAAGTAGTAATCTATAAATATATGTATCAAAATAGAATAAAAACCTAAAAATAACTGACATGATAAGATTTATATTGTAAATTAATGAGTTAGTGTTATTGAATGACTCACATAATAAAATCAAAAGGGACATAAACTATAGGTTCATCTCAATGCTAATCAAACGGTACATGTATTTAATTATGAGGTTGAAGGTTCAAATCCCGACCCCAGCTCTTTACCTAAAAAAATTTCCTGTCAACATTTCAACCAATCATATTATATATATATATTATTGTTTGTAACGGAAACTTTAGGCCTATTCCACGCATGGGCCAGAATTTTATAGGTCTCCTCCTTGGTCCAATTTTGAATCTCGTTTGTTAGGAAATCGATAACTTTTTTATTTTCTATTTTTAAATTAAAAATATTTTAAAATTTTATTCTTTATTTAAAGCTAATAATTAAGTTTTGTATAGATAATAATTTATATTTTCAATAAATTATATTCTTTTATTTTAACTAAAAATAAAAACCAGTAAACCTTAGTTAAATCGTATATCCACAATCAAGATAATGAATTGCTCACCTCAACAAATTGTTGTATTGAAAAGAAAAAAACTAAAAATAAATACGAGTAACAAGAAATAGTTATGAAACATAGTTTCTGTTTATGTTTCTTAGTTTCTGTTTATGTTTCTTTTTCTTTTTTTTTCCCGAAAAAAAGAGTATAAATTGTTACTAAACGTATTCCTGTTTCTAGATGTAAAAAGAATAGTAACGAGAAACATAAAATAGGAAACGAGAAACGATAACGTTACGAAACGAACATTTATATCCTATAAAATGGATGATGATCTTTCATAAAAAAAGAATTTGGAATCGTTGATCAATCATTGTTGGAGTGTGTTTGTCACTCATTCTTTCAACAAATTAATACGTGAAAATCATATTTTAAGTTCGTGATTCATAGATATACAGAAAATATTATAACGTCTCACTGACACATCTAAACACAATTTACCATAGTCAAATATTTATCTCACAATGTCTAGAATAAAGTTTTTACTTAAAAATGGCGTTTAATAAATACTTGTTTATTTATTTAAAAGTATCTCATTTGAAATTTTTGTTCCTTCAAAATTTCAATAATGATCCAAACGTGATGAGATGGGTGAAACAATTAGTCTATCGCTTTTCAGACTAATATAGAAATCCGAACTTTCAAGAAAATTTGTCTCCTCAATAATTCAACAACATTGTATTTCTCAAATAATTCATCATAAAGATTACCAAAACGAGCATAACTCAGCGGTAATTGACATATACGTTAAAAACCGTATTTTTTTTATTTTCAAAATTCTATACAATTTTGATAATATTTCTAAAAAATAAAAAATAAGAAACATAAATAATTGTAAAATACTTGATGCTTTAATAAAATTAAGAACGAAAACGTTATCGAACGAACCCGGTTAATAAATATGGGATTGAATTCCTTCCGGCTCCCAAGTTTGAGTCATTTTGCTATCATGAAACCTTTATCAAATCCATTCAACATTACACGTGAACAAAAATTAAAAGCACATAAATCAAAATAGACCTTTTGAGAGTAGAATGACTTAGATTAATTAAAGTTGAAAGTATTTAAACCAAAATAGTATTTAAATGTAATAAACAAAAGAACCAATATTTGTGCTCCAAATTCAAATAAGGTAAGGTAATCCTAGTGTTTTTATTGCTCAAGCGGTACTCGGTTGAAACTAAGTATTAATTCAATTGATCAAGTCACTTATTTTTTATTAAAATGTTTCGAATCTCCACCTTTACGTGTTGTACCAAGTAAAGCTCCAAATATGAAAGTAGGACCTTTATTTAAAAAATAAAATAAAATAAAAATTCACGAACAACCTTAGTTTCATCAGAGACTTGACACCCCTTCCCATTAAACTCCTCCTAGGTTGTGGCATTAAACCATTGTTTATTATTAAGTTTTTTTATAGAAAATTATTTATTGTTAGGTTAAATGAACATCAACCCAATCAACAACAAACTAATAGTCTGAGATGTGTATTGTTATTGTTGTTTGCGATTTAGTAAAAAAATTAAATACTAAACTTGAAATGTTTTGAGACGTGTGAAATAGTATTTTAACACCAGCTCGATGATAACTCAACTAATAAAATTATACACCGTCAACCAAAGATTAATATATAACGTGAATTATCCAACATAAACATAGTTCAACAATTGTTGAATCCGCCCTGATTTGAACAAATTCCCTCCAAGTCCTTTGCTATTTACATTGGTCTTCATAGACTACTTGGAACAAATCCCATGATGATTATTACATATGATATTTTATAGCAATCTAACGAGTCCATAGATAATCAGTAAAGTATAATTTTTAAAATTTAGGGTGCAAATAGAGACTAGTATAATTTGACTAATAAACTAACAAATTAACTAAAAAGAATAAGTATATAGCCAACCTAAATAAAACATATTACATCCATAAAAAATGTCAAATGGAGACATTGTTAATTTTTTATTTTTTTTGAAAAGTGACACATTCTCGAGGGGGAAAAAAAATTCATGTTGGCATAGCAATTTCTATTTTCTATTAAAAGAAAAAGAAAGAAGAAAAGAAGCGTATTTGGCTGTGGTAGCTTCTATTTCTCTTTGTTTTCTTAAAACCTCTGAAGTCTTAACCCTAACTACTCCCCTCTTCATCTTTGTCGATGGCCACCAACAAAATTGCAGAGAATGGCTCCACTGATGCCTCCGCCATCAATTCCAACCCCCAAAGTTCGACGCTCGACTCTGTAGCTGCTGCAGAACTAGACTCTACGGAAGCCGGTGGCGCTGAATCCGACCTGGATCCCTCTAACTCCGACTATTTATCGGTGCCGGCTTCGGATTCTGGAGCTCAGGAAGCCTCCAATCATACTGGCTCCTCCGATAAAAAGTGGCCGGGATGGCCCGGGGACTGCGTTTTCCGGCTTATAGTGCCGGTTGTTAAGGTGGGTAGCATTATTGGGCGCAAGGGCGATCTTATCAAGAAGATGTGCGAGGAAACGAAGGCCAGAATTCGGGTTCTTGATGGTGCTGTTGGCACTCCTGATCGCGTTGTGAGTGTTTTTCTGTCCCAAGCTCTTGTTTTTAGTAGAGGAATGGCATGTTACTGGAACTTTATATTACTTTTTTTTTTTTTTTGCTTTGTTTGGTTCAGTAGCACGGGTTTGTCTGGAGAATATCTTCCTAGTTATTGTTATTGCTCCAGCCTTACCATTTTTATTTGTTTCTCGGTGGATAATTAGACTGGATGTGACACTTCCTAGACAAGAAATATCTCCATTTTCGTGCCATGGGGTTTCCAGAAAAAAAAAAAAAAAACAAGAACATTCTCCCATCGTTGGCTGGTTCCCTCAAGTTAACATGTTATGTGTTAGTCCCAAGAAGTTATTTTCTACTTCTTTCTATAAGCCGCAGAATCTGTGTCGGATATTAGGATAACTAGGCCGCCTAGGGTAGCCTAGTTGGCAGTGACTTGGGGTCCGTTAGTCATACTTGCTTAGAGGCCTCAAGTTTGTACCTTCTGGTGAGCTTAATACCAAAAACTCTTGACGTCTCTCGGGGCTGAGCGTGGTTGCCCCCTGGATATAAGGGAGCAAAGCTCCGACTCCTAGTTCTCAAGAAAAAAAAAGGAACTTCTTGAAAAAGAGGAACTTCTGTTAAACCTTGTTCTGGTTGTTTATAATTGAAGCTTGATTTGAGATAAAAACAACTAATTGTGTTTGCTCTGCTGCATCCGTTTTTGCTGATTTTATTTCCCAAGTTCTTTCTTTATTTCCAGTAACTTCTATTTTTCTACATTTATGTTGAAATGTTGAGTGGAGTGTTTAGAAGATATTAACAGAATTTGTCGATTGAGTTTTGGTGGTTTGATGATTTTTGTGATATTCTTCTTTTCTTTGTTGTTCATATTTGTGGGACTTATTTTTGGTTTAGACTTTTCTGACTGGTCTTTGTTTGGTTCCTCCTCTCTCTTGTAGTTTGTCTCATACGTTTCCTTGAGGCCGTGTATTTTTGGGTTGTTACCACTGTATGTTCATTTGTCTTGATGAAAGTTTCACCTTTTCTCAATAAAAGAAAGCAAGTTTTGTTGGTGCAAGCCAAGGTTTACATAAAATATCAAGGAGAAAAAATTGGGATGTTTGGCCGCTCGTTCTATAGAATAGTTGTAAGGAAAATTTTAGTGGTTAGTTTCAATGAGTTAAATTCTTAGAGTTTAATGGCTACGAGCAAGACATTAAAGATAGCTGGCCTACACGAAATATGAACACAACTCTCCAAATGTCACGATCCTCATTAGAATTTTTCTAAAAAAGTCTTTATATTACCCCCTTTTGTACATCTATTCTATTTCATTACATTAATGAAATCTGTTTCTTCTCAAAAAAAAAAAAAATTATAACTTTTCGATTGAATATTGCACCAAGAGGACATTGAAGCAACATGATGAGTTACTTGGGGGTAGTTTGGGTGTATCTTAATTTTTTTTAGAAGCTAGTTTGTAGAGGAAGGGTGGTGATATGGTGTGAAGCAAGGTTGAGAGTGGGTAGTTTGTGTAAAGCTAGTTATAGTGGCGTACTATTAGCAATATTAGTAATATTTTAAGAGGGTACTATTAGCAATATTTGTAATATTTTAAGAGGGTAAAGGCGGCCTACTTTTTTTCTTGAAGAGGAAAGAATTAGGCCTCAAAGCAAAATGAGGCATAAGTTTCCATTTAAATAGAAATCATAAAATTTCAAATTAAGTATTACTAAACATAATAATAAATAATTATATAAAACTATAAAAACCTATTTCTCTCTCAATTGTTTTCACTATTTTAAATAATTATTAATTAAGCTAAAGTCCTATAGGAGTCGTGAGCAAGAAGAAGTTATTTTCAAGATAGACTTTGAAAAGGAAGGCTAATGATCACGTGAATTGGGACTTTATGGATAAAGTTACGGGGAAGAAAGGTTTTTGTTTTAAATGGAGATCTTGGATCTGGAGTTGCATTAGAGCGGTTGGATATTCTATCCTTATTAATGGCAAGCCAAGAGGTAGGTTTCACGCTTTGAGAGGCTTGAAACAAGGGGATCCCCTTCCCCCTGTCTATTCTTATTGGTCAATAGTATGAGTAGAATCATTTTGAGAGGGCTGGAGAGGAGTATTCTTTCGGGGTCTCGGGCTGGAAGGGATAACCTGTGTTTGCCCCATCTCTAGTTTGTTGATGACACTATCTTATTTTTCTTGGGTAAGGAGGAGTCTCTTGTTAATCTAGGGTCATTTTTAGTCTATTTTTGGTCAAAATATTAATCTGAATAAGTGGGCCTCCTTAGTGGGTTGTGAGATTGGCTCTTTTCCATCCTCCTATTTGGGTCTCCCTCTTGAGCATCTCTCTAGGAGTTTGTCTTTTTGGGTGGAAAAGGTTATGAGATGTCCCTCTTCTTGGCAATGTTTTAAAAGGCTAAAGGTGGCCTTGCAATTTTCCTCTTGAAGAGGCGAGGTGTAAGCCTTGAGGCGGTATGAGTTGTAAGCCTTAATATTAATTATAAAAAATTATACAAATCATAAACTTGTGTAATCAAGTATCTAAATCATGATATTAGTTATATATAAAATTGTAAAAAATTCACCCCAGACAATTGCCACTTAAATAGAAGTTAGAAAAGGACATCATTAACATCACTATTATTATCACTAATAGGATTGACTTATTCTATTGTTTTTGAAGTGTAGGTAGTAAAAGTAGTGATAGATTGAATTGTTACCATTCATATATTAGCATTTCATACACAAAGAAACCTTTATATTTTTTAAGAATGGAGCAAATTAATAATATTCTTCTAATAAGTACACGAGGCGTAAAGACTTCAAGCATCGGTGCATCTTCGTAGAGGCACAGGTCTCGAGGCTAAAAGTTAGAGCGTTGTCTCGAGGCAAGCCTCGAGGCATAAGCCTCAAAAGCCTTTTAAAATATTGCTTCTTCGAAGAATAGTTATTTCTCCAAAGGAGGTAGACTAGCTCTTGTTCAATTTATTTTGGGTGGGATCTTAACTTACTTCCTTTCCTGTTTAGGGTGCCTGTTTCAGTTAGTAAGATCTTCAAAAAGTTCATGAGGGATTCCCTATGGGGAGGGGTTGATGTGGGGAATAGTTCTCATTTAGTCAAGTGGGAGGTGGTGGGCAAGTCGTTAGATTTTGGGGGTGTAGACATTGGCAACCCGAGAGAACGAAACCAGGCCTTACTATTAGGTCTTATTTTGTTAGATTGGAGCCCTTTTTGTTTTAGTTTAGCTCCATTTGTTGGGGTTGTCTAATTGTATGCGCTTTGTATTCTTTCATTTTTCTCAATGAAAGCGAGGTTGCTTTAAATACACACACACACACACACATTGAAGTTATTTATTTTCAACAAAATCATTATATCACTAATAAATCTCTCTCTTTTTTAGTCTATTGGGTCTGGGTTTGGGGTAGGTGCGGGTGTCCCGAGTATTGGGGAGCAAAGCTCCGACTCTCGGTTATTAAAAAAGAGAACTGATAAATATTTTTTTGGGTAAGAAACTGATAGTTAATTTTTGATGTTTTGAAATATAAAAAAGAAACTGCAAGGCTGGATTACAAAATGGTCTTCCAGTTCCAGCTGATAAGAGATCATTAATTAGTAAAAGGAGAATAGAAATATTTACATCAACTAAGAGCTGAAGCCAAAACTCTGTTAAAAAAAAAGAAAATTAAAAAGGGAGAGGGGCATTCTTTTAACATCATTACCAATAACTCTTAATCTACTTATTCTTTAATTTTTGTCACCAACATTTTTTTAGTTCGTGGTAAAACTTGTTACGAGTTAAATTATTAACTCATGGTATATTGGCTTGAGATGCACAAGGAAACACTTAACTGTTATATTTTTTAAGAACATGACAATTTGATATTATTCTTCTAATCATTTCACGAGGTGTAAAGACTTGAAAGCTCAATGTATTGTACAATGCGTAATCCTCTAACAATCCAAAGAAGGCGTAGGACTTGAGGCAAAATGATTTTTTGTAATGATCAGTTTGGCTTAATCTATTGATTGGAGTAGCTTTGTTTTTGCTTTTCTTTCTTGGGTTGTTTTTTTTGTATGTCTTTTTGTATTCTTTTATGGTTCTCAATGAATGGTTGATTTTCCATTAAACAAAATGATTCAAATCAAAATTTGACAGTGGGCTGGTTATTGATTTCCATTAAACATGTGTTTTTGTATGGTCTGTTTTTTACTTCCATTTTGTTTAGTAATCTTGGACTTCCTGATTGGCTTTAAATTTTAGAAGGTGGTGATATGTATCTGGTAAATTTAGAATTTGCACTTTGTGGTTTGGGGAGTGATCAAATGATTGTGATTAGGTTCACTTCCAATTAAGAACTGTAATATATAGAAGAGAGGTATAAGTTATAACTTCTCTTTGATGCTTCAATTGATTTGCAAGGATGCTTTGATGCATTTTTGTATAATTTCTTTTAAATAGGAGATCTTGTTGAAACTTGTTCATTCAGTTTTTGACGTATAAAGTTTACTTCAGGTGCTAATTTCGGGAAAAGAAGAGCCTGAGGCGCCTCTTTCCCCTGCAATGGATGCAGTTATAAGAGTGTTCAAACGTGTGTCTGGATTTTCTGAGAATGAAGATGATACTAAGGCTTCATTTTGTTCAATCCGGTTGCTTGTGGCATCAACTCAAGCTATTAATCTTATTGGAAAGCAGGGTTCATTAATAAAATCTATACAGGAGAGTACAGGAGCTTCTGTGCGAGTGTTATCAGGAGGTATGCTTCATTCTCTGTAGTGCATGCGTTGTGCTCTTTTCCTGATTGGTTTTGGCCCTAGCTGTATTATTTTGTCGAGGTCACAAAATCTACTAGTTAGCTAAATTGTAGAGGTGCGTATTCCCACTGTATATCCTTTCATTTGCTCTTTGGTCTTTTATTAAAAAGAAAGTGTAGAGCCATCAGAAAGGGGAATAAGCACACCGTCCAAAACCTCGCTGCAAGGGAGGGATCATTCTAAAGAATAATACTGCCCCGATAGAAGACCACCATAATGTGAGAAGTGCAAATGGATCTGTTAAAAATTGGTTCACCTTACTAATCTTTGGTTTGTGCAAAAGAACTCATTACTAACTATATTGTCCTTTTTTGGTGCATTATGAATCCAGAGATGTGATTTTGTGTGGTGGAATTGCAACTAAGATTCATAAAATTTTCAGGTTTTGGCCTTTTGGCATTAGGAAAATTAGATGGTTGAGACCTCTTGTTTGAGATGAACTCGTTACTAACTATATTGTTCTTTTTGGTGCATTGTATGCAAAAATGATAATAATGATATAAATCGTCCCTTCATAATTGGATGGGGGATGCAGTATGGGATCATTCTCAAGTTTGGAGTATTTTCAGGTCATCTGAGAGGAGCATACTCATTCTGATTCACCATCATCTTTCTCTTGCTGCTGGCATCTGATAAAAAGTGACCTAAAAATAAAGTATATGACAATTAGCTATAGAAAATAAGTCTTTATTTTCTACCTCAATTATATTGTTGTAAATCAAACTTACCAAGCATGATGACTATTAACTTCAAGCCTTTCTAGCTTCAGACACCAGGTGCAAGCAACTAATAATGTCTTGAGATAATAATACGTTTCCGGATATAGTGATTCTTCTTCTATGGGTACTCTCTCAATTTTCCCGTTCTCATCTACATTAAATGCTTGCAGATGAGATGCCATTCTATGCTGGTGCAGATGAGAGGATGGTGGAACTGCAGGGAGAATCCTTAAAGGTTCTCAAGGCTTTAGAGGCAGTGGTCGGCCACCTAAGGAAGTTTTTAGTTGATCATAGCGTTCTTCCTCTGTTTGAAAAGAGTGTAAGTTCATGTCTTGTTTGGTCTATGATCAACCTTTTCTTTTGCATAGTTTAGGACCTCTTATGAGTTGTTTCTACATTGTCCTTTTTTAGTTCAATACAACTGCCTCGCAAGATCGTCAAACAGACACCTGGGCTGACAAGTCCTCGCTTCATACTGCATCTCAAAGCGTAATCTCAACCGAATATCCTCCTGCTACAAAAAGAGAATCTCTATTTCATGACAGGGAAAGTCATCTTGATTCTCATATGGCATCCTCTGGTATTTCTCTCTATGGACAAGATCGAATACTTCCTGGCATTCGATCATCAGGTGTTGCTCGCTCTGGTGCACCTATTGTCACTCAGGTTGGTATAGTAGCACGGTTTTCCAATTAATGGTAGAAGGGAATGGTTTATGTTGACTTAGTGAGGAGAAAATTATCTCACCTACTGAACTCCACAATCAACAAGACCATCATTGCATGTCCATTAGTACTGTTAGGTGATTTCTTTTTTAGGCTCGTCTCCTTGTTGTGGTGTGGCAAGCAAGCTTGTCACCTGTATATGCCTATTGTGTATCGAGAACGGTCCAAAATATATGGCATATTTTGCATACGTGCGTTATTTAGCATAATGATGAATGGGGGCTTCGCTCAGACAGTAGTTATAGAGTCTGTCTTTGTTTCTCTGATCAAGTCACCTCTTTGCTGTTCCTCTCAGGTTACTCAAACAATGCAGATCCCATTATCTTATGCTGAGGACATCATTGGGGTTGGAGGAACAAATATTGCATTCATCCGTCGCAATAGTGGTGCCATCTTAACCATACAAGAGAGCAGGGGATTACCTGATGAGATCACCGTGGAAATAAAAGGCACTTCCTCACAAGTACAGATGGCTCAACAATTAATTCAGGTAATACTTAACGTTCCCTTTTGACTAATAACTTCGGGGTAAAAAGCTTGTCTTGGTTCATTGGGTTGTATTGGGGTTATTTTTATTCTATTTTGGAGCTCTTCTTTGGCCGAAGCCTTAGCCTCGTTACACCAGACAATTTTAGGTATCATAAATGGGCCATCAAGATTGAAGGCAAAAGATCCCCTTTTTTGCCCAAGATAAAAGGAGCAATCAAGTGGTAACCACAACATTTTTTCTTTAGTAATATAAGAATCCTGGTCTTTAGTATCGTTGCATTTCTTTATGTTAACGAGGCTATTTGTAATTTTTATCCCACAAGAAAGAGAAAAGAGGCTATTTGTAACATAGATCTGCGAATAGTATCTTTCAAATGTTTCATAGAACTGATTGCCTTTAAAGTTCACCCATGTTTTGATAGAACTATTTTGTTTGTATCAATCATGTGTAATGTTACAAGGATTTGCACCCTTTTACCATCGAAAAGCTCTAATAAAACGAGAAGCACAATGAAGCAATATTACTTCTACTAGGCTCCTGAAAGAACCGCCACAACCATTTGGCCAAATAACACATTATTTCTGAGTCTCAAGTTCCCAATTTTCATGGTTGTCTATTCATCTTCAAATATCTAGTTTATGAAAGAAAAGACTGCCATTCTGATTCCGGCATCTGGAGATCCCGAGTCAAATGGCGCTATGGTGTTGAATAATTCATCTGTTGATCTTTCCTAATGTTTACATATATATGTTTTTGCTTCCCTTTGTTCTTGTAGGAAGCAGTAAGTGGGCCCAAGGAACCAGTAACAAGCAGCAGCTATGGCAGGCTAGACGCAGGCTTGAGGTCATCCTACTCCCAGTTGGCTGGTTCAGGTTCATCCTACACTTCATCCTTCACTTCATCCTCTTTATCATCACAGTCATATGGTGGATATGGGTCTTCTGGTTTAGGAGGCTACAGTACCTTCCGGCTCTGAATCGATTGCTCTGAAGATTCGAACCCGCTTGGATTCGATCTTGCTTCCGATTAATTTTTATCAAGAAGATGAATGAATTACGTTGGAATGTAGTTTGTAAAGTCAGCCTAAAGTAGTTAAAAACTTTTTTATTACTCACTTTGTCTCTGCCATAATGAAACTGATCAGCTGGGTAGATTTGTCCTACGCTTTTTTTTCTCTCTTTTTTCAGAGTTGATGTGTTATTGTTGAGTAGGTTTTTTTTTAATCAAAATTTTAGGATACTTTTTCCACACTGATCTTGGAGAATTCAAATCAAGTTAAATCTTGAGAAAAATTGGACTAAACTGAGACAGACAATCTCAAAATTATTGAGTTGATAGTTTGATAGGATGGGGTCTTTTAGTCGCACAAAAAAAAGAAAATAATAGAAATAAAAAAAAACGCTGTTTTGTTGAATTTGGACGATGTCGTTTGTCTTTCTTAATATTAATTTGAAGTCAAGATGGATGAATGGTTTCAAATTCTGTGTGATTTGAAATTCTAAAAGTGAATTAATTAATTTTTTTTATCTTGCTGGATATTTATTGGGAGAAAAAAGAAAATAAAAAGTCTACTAATATAATTTTTTAAATCTTTAATTCATTAATAAAATATTAAATATGACAAGTTAAATTATTAATTTAACTCAAAATTCATTGAAATGCTTGTGAAATTTGACCATTTATTTGTTTATTTATTTATTTTTTGTCCAAGTGAAACAGGGATGTTTTAAATCATGTGAAATTTCAAATATTTTAATAAAGATAAATGCATAAAAAAGAGATAAAACAATATAAATAGTTGGAAAATTTTCAATTTTTTTTAAATATAATATAAACGTGATATTTTAAAATATGTTTTATATAAAATTATAATTTGGTTTTATTTGAGTTATGTTATCCTTGAAAAATTTCAAATTTCAATTGTACTTTAATCCGTACTAAAAAAGAAAAAAGAAAAAAAAAACATTTACTTTAGATCCGACCCGATATCTTCCCCGGTTATGATACTTTCGAACCCTCTGTTCCCCTTCGTCTTCCCTTCGATCTTCCCTGGAACCCTTCTCTTTCTTTGTGGCTCGATCTCTGCAAATCACAACTTCCAAATCTCTTGTTCCAAGCCCGATCGAAGCTTTCCCTTCATTCCGTCCTTCTTCGGAAGCTTTCCATCAGCTCCGAACTCGAATTTTCGTCCCCTCTCCCCTCACCCTTCTCTTGCTTCTGCCGTCTCGGCCACTGAAACAATCCCTCTCAGAAGAAAAACCATCCTCTCTCGCGTATTCTGCGATTTGGGCTGATTTTGCTGTGTGTCTGCTGTGACTTTTAGGTTAACGTTTCTGTCTCTCTCTCTCGGACTCGTTGGATATGAATAACTTGGGATGTTCTTTCTTTCTTTCTTTCTTTCTTTTTTTAATCTAGCTGCACCTGTTTTTGCGAGTGAACTAGGAAAACTCTTTTTCATTTATAGCTCGTAATTTATTGTTCTGGAAAATTCTCAGATTCTCCACTTTTTTACTTAGGTCAGAATTCTGTGGTTTCCCGTTARTTTAAAAGCCCCTTATTTGAATGAGATGTTCGTTTCCTCCCTCTTCCAGCAATAGTAAAACTCTGGGTTACCGATATTTCTTTTAAATCGAGGGTTTTCTTAGTTTTCTCAATTGGTTTCAGTAAATAAGAATATTTTTTGTTTTGTACCAATTGGATTTTCACTGCCTCTGCTGGTTTTTTAGGTAGCTTAGTTTAAAATCATGGCTACTCTGAAAGACCTTCTTCCTGCTGCAAAGTCAACCAGTGTAACACACTACGATCATTCAAATGATCCATGGTTCAAGCAGCGGTTTAGTTCATCTGAAGCAGAGCAAACTTCTGTTGTTAAGGTGAATCCTGTGCCGCCTTACTTGAAGCGTGGTGGATTTGTTCCTAGGAAAGTAGAGGATTTTGGAGATGGCGGTGCGTTTCCAGAGATTCACATTGCTCAATATCCACTTGACATGGGTAGAGACAAATTGTCGAAGCCCGGATCGAAGATACTTCCTATTACAGTGGATGCGCACGGAAATGTTGCATATGATGCCATTGTCAAGCAGAATGAAAATGCTAAAAAGATTGTCTATTCGCAACATAAAGACCTCATTCCAATGATTTTGAAAAATGATGAAGTGAGTGATGAAGATGAAGAATTGCAGAAAGAGATTGAAGAAACAACTGAGGAAACAAAGTCTGCACTTGAAAAGATAGTGAATGTAAGATTGAGTGCAGCGCAGCCTAAAAATGTACCCAAACAATCATCGGATTCGAAGTTCATCAAGTATAAGCCATCTCAACAATCAGCTGCGTTTAATTCAGGCGCCAAGGAGAGAATAATTAGAATGGTGGAGATGCCTGTAGATCCACTCGAGCCTCCAAAGTTCAAGCATAAACGTGTTCCTAGAGCTTCGGGGTCTCCGCCTGTGCCTGTTATGCATTCCCCTCCTCGCCCTGTCACTGTGAAGGATCAGCAGGATTGGAAGATTCCACCTTGTATTTCAAACTGGAAGAATCCTAAAGGTTATACAATCCCGCTTGACAAGCGCCTTGCGGCCGACGGGAGAGGCCTTCAAGAAGTTCAAATCAATGATAATTTTGCAAAGCTATCTGAAGCACTCTATGTTGCAGAACAGAAAGCAAGAGAAGCAGTTGCAATGAGATCCAAGGTTCAGAAAGAAATGCTTATGAAGCAGAAGGAGAAGAAGGAGCTGGAGCTCCGAGCCTTAGCTCAGAAAGCTCGGTCTGAGAGAACTGGAGCTGCACCTCCTTCTGTGGTTGCTTATCCATCTGAGAGGAGCACAGTAGATACTTCTGAGATGAGAGGGGAGTTCGAGCGTGTAAGAGAAAAAGATAAGGATTTACCAAAGGAGACCAGGGAAGAAAGGGAAGAGCGGTTGCAACGGGAGAAGATACGAGAGGAACGACGTCGAGAGAGGGAAAGGGAACGGAGGTTGGAGGCCAAAGATGCAGCAATGGGAAAGAAAAGTAAGATTACGAGAGATAGAGATCGTGATATTAGTGAGAAGGTTGCACTAGGTATGGCTTCTACCGGAGCAGGTAGGGAGGGAGAGGTTATGTATGACCAGAGGCTATTTAACCAAGACAAAGGAATGGACTCTGGGTTCGCCACGGACGACCAGTATAATATATACGACAAGGGCTTATTTACCGCTCAACCCACTCTTTCAACCCTTTACAGACCCAAAAAGGATGCTGATTCTGATATGTATGGAGGTGCTGATGAACAGCTAGACAAGATAATGAAGACCGATCGCTTCAAACCAGACAAGTCGTTTTCGGGCACTGCAGAAAGGTCAGGACCTAGAGACAGGCCAGTTGAGTTTGAGAGAGAGGTTGAGGAAGCTGATCCATTCGGGCTCGATCAGTTCTTGACTGAAGTGAAGAAAGGTAAGAAAGCTATGGATAAAGTTGGGTCTGGTGGTACAATGAGAGCTGGTGCAGGTTCATCAATGCGAGATGGGTACGAGGGTGGTGGTTCTGGTAGAACTCGCATTGGATTTGAAAGAGGCCATTAGGTAACAATGCTATCAGTTTTTTTCATGTACAATCACTTGGATTCTCTTCTTATCTATAAAGAGTTTCAGTAATTTGCATTTGGACTGTACTTTTAACTTGGCCCTTGTTTATTTTGCTATTTAATTTTACTCTATTACTTGTTTTTCTTGTGTTGGGAGATTTCCATTTGGATTGAGTATTACTTTTACTTGCAGGTGGTGCAATTGTAACCATTATTATAGACTATAGTACAGTCTACAGTTAATTTTTTCTTTCTTTCTTTCTATCTTTTCTTTCCTGTTATTCTGGAATGATTGGGTCGGGTAAAACACATACTTTAATCTCACGGGACAATGAAATTATTTGGTTTCTTCATCAAGGATGGTATAATTTTGATGAAAATAGAAAACCAAAAACGAGACAATTATCAACACAAACTAAAATCCATTAACAATCCTACACATGAGACATTAGAAACTTAAGAGTTTGGAGGAAAGCAATGAAATGAAAGCACATAACTCTGAACAAGTGAACAAGAGTTTTCAATCTGAAAAGCATATTCTATGAAGTGAAGTAAAGAGGAGAATTTGAGCTCAAGGATTCTCCATGGTGAGAAATGCTTCAAAGACAACCTGCGGAGGAGGAGTGGCTGAGATCACTGAAAACAATCCTTGCTGTTCGGCCCTGTGCTGAGACACAGACACACTCCTCATTTTGCCCCATTCATCCTCTGTCCAATACCCTTTTCTTACTATCTTCACACCCACCTGCCATTTCAACGTTCGGGTTTAAATCTTATTTTGGTCCGTCCTACTCGAAGAGTAATAATTATTTTTGTTTTAGTTTAAATCTCATTTTCATCCCTCAACTTTCAAGATTACTTTCAAAACGATCATATATCTTAAGAGATGATCATTTTAGTCCCTATATTTGCGAAATCCTAACACAATTGCTAGCTATACATAACAAAAATCCTTTAATACAAAGCTACGAGAATCAGATGAGATTAATTGGTCATGAACCTTATAGGTCTTAGGTCAGAATCTACCCAATTGGAAGTTTGTGAACACCCAACATTTAAGCAAGCACTCGCCCTAATTGTAATTTAAGGATATGGCTATTGGTGGTCAAAAATCAAGTCACCATGTGTAGACATTCTTAGTTCGAGACATCACAAATTGACGTCAGAAACCAAACCTCGATATCGAGCTGAGCCAAGGATATGATCCAAACCAACCTGAGGACTCCGACCTCAGGCCCGACCGTCGACTTGGGGACCCGACAGACATAACAGTATGTCGTAACCAACTAACTGCCCTGTCTCTCCCAGCCTGTCTATAAAAGGGACATTCCACCCACGAGTCAGATATGCAATTTTCTCTGAGAACGACCTTAGACTTCTGAGCTTGTATTAACTTGGGCGTCGGAGTGTCTGATCTTTGTGCAGGTTCACTTGCGAGCACCTCGGAGTGTCGTCCACGTCAGTTCATCACCGATGTGCAAGTTCGGTCGGAAAGTAGCATCAACATTTGGCGCCGTCTATGGGAACCGGCATGACAATAAGCTTTTTGCTCTAAGAATGGCTGAAGGCAACGGTTCCCATTCTGGAAGTAACGAGAATGACAATGGAGATCGCGACCTGCCTAATGGCAGGCGGGGAAGGGATGATCACCCACCACTACCAAGGAAACCGAAGACTTGTTTGACACTTGTAAAACGAAGTCCACTCTGGTGGAGTTGCCATCGTCCGAGCAGATGCAATCACAACTGGCAGACATGCAAGCTCGCTTGGAAGCCATGACCTAAGCGCTGCTGAATCTCGAGGTCCCGTTACCTGAGATTCAGCGTGACCCAAAGAAGGGAAAGGAGAAGGTGGACGACCACTCCCAGAAGAAGAGAGCTGAGGAGCTGATTTCGAAGCTAGTTTTAGGGGCAATAACCTGCCAAGAACGGGAGACTACCGACCTGAGCTCTCCCTGCAACCCTCCAAGGTAGACGGGCAAAGCAAGACGCGAGGTCCAAAGCTCGGGGGCCTCGAAAGAGAGCTTCCGGAAGAATCTATAGGCAACGTGAGCTTGCAGCTGCAGTTTGACTAGCTGAGAAGAGAGTTGGTCAGCGAGTTAAAGGGAAACTTGAAGAAAGTTGTGAGAGCTACAGAGGATGATGAACCTGACGAACCGCCCTTCGTCCAAGACATCTTAGATGCCCCCATCTCGCAGAAGAGCGGATTTCCAACCTTCAACAAATACGATGGGACGAAGGATCCCGTCGACCATGTGGAGACCTACGAGTTCATCATGGACTTTCACGCGTACTCAGATGCGATGAAGTGCAGAGCTCTCTCTATAACTCTGCAGGGGCCAGCAAGGAAGTGGTTTAGACTTTTGGCTTCCTACTCGATCTCGAGCTTGAAACAGCTTAGAAAGGCTTTCATAGCCCAGTTTGCAGCCCACAAGGACGCGAAACACTCAGACACGTATCTCTTCTCGATCTGACAGAAGCCAAAAGAACCTATTAGGGATTACATTAAGCGCTTCCTCTCAGAACAGATCAAGGTTGAGACTTGCACTGACCTACTAGCTCGGTCCGCCTTTTGCAATGGCGTGACACATGAGAAGTTAAGTTGGTCACTGGCAAAGAAGCCCGAGTTGACCTTGAAGGGATGCTTGGATAGAGCAACGAAGTTCATCGAGGCCGAGGACATCATGATGTCCAAAGAAGATAAGTATTCAAGGAATGGCTCGCCTTCCAAAATCGAGAAGAATAAGGACAAGAAGAAAAATGGCAACGGAGGAAATGGCAGGGGGAACTCTTTCTGTTAACTTGAGTATGGTCGTCGAGGTGATCAGAAAGTGACAAGCCTCAGAGGTTCAGCACCTTCACGCAACTACAGGTCCCTTTGTCCGAAATCCTGGCCAATATCCAGGATTCAAACTTGGACTTACTGGTAGAGCCAAGGAAGATGCAGAAGGATCCCGAGCAGCGTGATAAGTCAAAGTACTGTAGGTACCACCGGGACCATGGCCATTATACCTCCGATTGTTTTGACTTGGGCAACAAATCGAAGGTTTGATCCGACAAGGCTACTTCAAGAAGTATGTCGGTAAGCGAGACCGAGAAGAGACCTCGAATCCTTCTAGCAGCAGAAAGGAACAGAAGAGAGAAAGGTCCAAAACCCTACCCAAGCGAGAGGACCAACCTCCTATGATCCACACAATTCCAGGGGGGTCAAGCGATGGCCAGTCAGGCCACAAAAGGAAAGAGCTGGCCGGAGAGGCTGGCCATGAGGTCTGTATGTTGCAGCCAAAACAGCAGTCCTACCCAATCATCTTCTCTGATGTCGACCTCCAGGGTGTGCACTTCCCTCACAATGACGCATTGGTCATTGCCCTCCTTATTGATCACATTACCATGCGCAGGGTCCTCATAGATGGTAGAGCCTCAACAAATATATTGTCTTTATCCACCTACAAAGCACTCGAGTGGGGCCGCGCTCAGCTAAAGAAGAGCCCAACACCGCTTGTCGGGTTCTCTGGAGAAAGTGTAACCCCTGGAGCTCCCCATCTCGCTAAGGGAAGGCGAAACTCAGGTCAGCTTGGTGGTCGAGTTCGTGATCATCAACGGCAAGTCGGCTTACAACGCCATCTTTGGTTGACCGATTCTACATGCCCTGGAGGTCGTGCCGTCGACATTCCACCAAATGATGAAATATCCTACTCCTAAAGGGGTGGGAGGATTCCAAGGCGAGCAGAAGACCTCACGAGAGTGCTATGCTGCTGCCCTAAAAGGGTCGAGTACTTGTGCAGTCATCATGAACCAGGAAGAGCTAACATGGAGCAGGACCGACTTGAGTAGAGGAATGCCTACGAAAAGCTTGAGCTAGTCCCGTTACTTAGTGCTGATAAGCAAGTGGGCATCGGAACCATGCTGGGGGCCAAGGACCGAGTCGAGCTGATCGAGTTTCTGAGGGCCAATGCTGATGTGTTCACCTGTTCTCATGAAGACATGTCGGGAATCGACCCAAAGATTATGGTTCATTGGAGAGCCTAATGATGAGAAATTGCAACTCATAGTACAATCTTCTGTGACAAATGATGTTAATGAGGGTGATGTATTTGATACTAAGAAGGAGTTAATTTTGAAAATGCATTTAGTTGTAATGTAGATGAATTTTCGATTTAAAGTAAAAAAGTCAACACTGGAACTATATATACTGATGTGCATTCATACTGGTTGCACGTGGAGACTTCAAACTACAAAGCTAAAGGAATGCACCTTGTTCAAGATAAAGAAATATTGTGCTGCCCATACGTGCAACGATGGAGTTTTGAAACAGGACCATAGGCAAGCCAAGAGTTGGGTGGTTGGACATATTGTGCAGGAGAAGTTCACAGACGCTCCTGCACGTATAGACCGAAGGTCATTATACAAGACATGAGGAAGGAGTATGACGTCAATTTGAGTTACAATAAAGCATGACGGTCTAGTGAAGAAGCACTCCGGATTATTAGAGAGGATCTAGCATCGTCATGTGGTCTACTTTGAGCTTATGATGAAGCATTGAAAATCATGAACTCAGGTACTATTTTCGAATTAAAACTACAAAATAACAAATATTTCAAATATGTTTTTATGGCGTTGGGTCAATCGATTCGAGATTTTGTGGGTTGTATTAGACCAGTGTTGGTTGTTGACAGGGTCCACCTAAAGAGGAAGTTCAAAGGGGTACTATTATCAGCTTCTGGTGTGGATGCCAATAACCAGATTTACTCGGTAGCATTTGCGATTGTCGATGGTGAGACGGTAGCATCATAGGTGTGGTTTATGACTCAAATAAAACGTGCACTCGTCGGAGTGGACAATTTGGTTTTTGTTTCTGATAGACATCAAGTCATTTGCAAGTCAATTGACAAGATATTTACTGTTGTATTTCATTGCTTTTGTATACATCATATTAAAGTTAACTTGATAGCAAAATTTAAAGACGATGCGAAAGCAATCGAGGAACTATTTTTAAAGGCTGTGAAGGCATATCGCGAGTTTTATTTCAACTCCATCTGGGCCCAACTTCAGGCACACTCGTAAATGCCCTCTTCAGGCACTTTCGTAAGTTGCCGGTGACTGCCTTACTTGACCACACTAGAGGTTAGTTACAGACTTGGTTCTACGATCGACGGACGCTTGTAGCTTCCCGATCAACCACATTGTCCGACTATGCAGAAAACATGTATGTCGAATACTCGGACAGTGCGAGGAGACACGTGGTAGACAACATTGACCAGTTCCATTTCCAGGTACGAGATCGCAACCTTGACTGGATTGTTGATTTGAACGCTATGACGTGTAGTTGTCGGGAGTTCGATTACTTTAAGATTCTATGCTCTCATGCTATTGCCGGGACGACGATGTGAAATATAAATCCATCCAGTCTGTGTGACGAGGCATATACGACGAACTCCTAGATCTTGGCTTATTCAGAACCCATATTTCCAGTCGGACACGTCTCAACATGGAACAGTTCACCATAGTTTGTCAACATATTGGTGGAACCATCGAAGACTGTTCCAAGAGTTGGGAGGCGGAAGACGACTAGGATTCCTTCCACAGGCGAGGTACGTCAAACATGTAAGTGCCGTCGTTGTGGTGCGTCGAGGCACAATCACAAAACATGTAGTGAACCCTTTACCACATTGTGAATGTATGCTTTTGTTGGTCATTTACATTTAAACATATATGAAGTGGATTTTAAAGAAATTTGTAAGGTAACTTGTATCTCAAGAAACCAACCATGCATGTATGCATTTGCAACTGTATGTGTTCTATTATTATTATTATTATTATTATTATTATTATTATTATTGTGGAGATTGGATTCTATTATTATTATGTGTTTCATGTATCATGCTATGAGAATCAAGTACGACATAGAAAATATAATACTGGAATTGTATACATATTCAAAAAATGGGGCGACGCGCCCACATCTGTACAGTGTACTGACGCCTAAAAAATACAATATTATCTTGGGTCAAAGTGTCCATCTTTGACCCGGTAACATCGTACCCAAAGAAGCGTACACAGAAAATCCTGCAATTCGTCACGCTACTCTGTTGGGGTACGCGAACCCGATGCACCCTTCATGGCACCACTGGCAGGTCCAATCGTATTGCAAACATCCTGCCATGATGCAGCACCGCAGGTAGGATCGTACAAATGGGCTTTAGCTTCTTCTCGAGTGCATCTAGTGGAGTGGCCGATTGGAATGAATCCCATACGATTATGTCGCTTTCCACAAGATCGATGCCGAGCATCACCCAGTGGTTCTCGTCTACATTGATCGCAGTGTACACAATGTCTGCATCACTCTAGGGCACGTTGTGGTCCGACTACCTACCGAATACATATCGAAACATGGTCTTCTCCTTGCTCCAGGAGTATTTGATTCTCTTGTGATTCTCTTGGACAGGACACCTGGTTTCATGGTTGCATATGGACCATTTGTTCGATTCAGCAGAGTAGGAAGTGAAAAAGGATATTAGTTACACAAATAATTAAAAGAGTATTTTTTTTTAGTTCGAACCAAGAGCGGTAAAAAGTATGTACCGGAAGCAGTACGTCGCCTATTGCAAATTTTTTGCGACACAGATGGAGACACTTCTCCAACTTTTTCGCCGTAAACAGGACGAGAGCATCAACTACCTATTACATTTAACAAATGCAAATTGATGTAAGTATACTATTGACAAATATAGTACTAGGTAGTGAATAAGATGTACTTACTTCGTCCTTCAATTGGACAGTCCGGTCCAATAGATCGCGATACAATTCCTTCCTTTCCAAGCTTGCTGCAGTAGATCGACTTTGTCAATTTGTGTTTAGGTCATCCATCCATGTTTGGAACTGACCGTCCAACTGCGGAGGAATGAGACATGTTGGGTCGTATGCATCCACGGTGATCCCACGCTAGCCGGTTGGTGTGTATATACCCTTCAGTTTCCACGAATAATGACGTTTGCGTAGCCCTCGGTCAGTTGGGGCCTGCTAAAGGTCAGATTGGTCCTGGTGAAGGTCAGGTTCAACCTAAACCACAATAAACACATAAGGTCAAGTAATGACAATTGTCAAAATGTATGACATTAAGTTTACCTTAACAATCGTGTCTGGTGCCCAATCATTCTACGGACGCCTAACTCGTCGTCTCGTGGGTCGCATATCTGGTGGAACATTCGGCTCTTGCCTGCCAACAGTGAGATCCTAATATACAAAAAATATTAATCACATTATACTAGCATTATGGTAGCACAAATGTATACTAGCGTTATAGAAGGTGGTTACTTGAATTACGCCCACCCGAGATCCATGGTCATCTGCATGATCCACTACCGAGCCATCAGGCCGTCTCCCGATCGTAATGTATTGATATTAAATAACATGATGTAAGACAAGGTCATAAATAATCCAAAAAGGAAAGTAAGTAGGAGTTACCTGAATTAAACTGACAGGGTGATTAGGGTATGCATCATTCCCATCCGTTATCGTACCATGGTCCTCCTTCGTAATCATTGAATCCTCGTCCTTATTCTTCGGATCCTCGTCCATATTATTTTGACCATGCCCCAACGTCGGTTGCTCGTCAGTCTCCAGGTCCTCATTAGGCCTCTGGTCCTCGTCCATACTCTTCAGACCTTCATCTGGCTTCGGGGACTCATCAGGCCTTTGATCCGATGGACCATCATCATCGGACCCACCCCCACCTCCAAAATACTTGCTCGGATCAGAGAATTTACCCTGCACAAAAAGACCGGCCCATGAACATTATTGTAATAAATAATAATAAATTTGTATACATATAAAATGCGTACCTTTCACAGGTTCTTTAGGTACCTCTGAATACCTTTCAGGGCGACTCCAATGCCACCTAGTGTGTCCTCGATAGAACCAACACGGTCATCGAGCCTCTTCAACCGTCTACTGATCCTCTTCTTGAATTTATTCCTCTTCGACCTCTTCTCTAACGCTTGACCATCATTTGCACTGGGTCCAGCCTCGTCTACCGCATGGGCCTCTACTACCGGATCCTCTACGATCTTCTTCCCTTTTTCCATCACTCTCCGCTCTAGAGTATCTCTTTCCACATCAGCAGGCGGATCAGGTACAACAGCCGGATTAGGTACAGCCGGCAGATCAAGTATAATGTGGGCTTCTGCGCTCTATTTAGCCTATCATTTTGTTATGCTTGATTGTAGGTAATACAGAGATGCCCGATGCAATAGAGACAATATTTCGATCTGCCCTAGATTTTGGGAGACATGGAGGCGTGAGTATTTATATTCCTAATTTGCATGAATTTTAAATTGTCAGTAGTGCCTTTTAATCTGCATAATGTAAAAAAGCATTCCTATTATGATTTCATCATTCTGTTACTTTATTAGTAAAGTGCAACACTCCGACACGATAACATTGGTTAACTGATTTCTGGAGATAATGTGACGACTGTAACAAGTTAAGGAAGCTCTGGATGAAATGGAAAATGCAGCTGGTTTGTATTCAAAGGTTGAACAATTACTGGTTTTCCTTCTCGTAGAAGCACCATCTCTCATTCTGAACCCACTATTTTCTCTAACAAATTCAGACCGATACCGGTTGCGAAATTACATTGATATTCTTAATAACATGCAAGGTTACGTGAGGTCTCAAAGACTGGCTCTTTTGAAGTGCGAGAATGAACAAAGTTCTCCCTAAGAAAAGCCAAAATTTTGATTATGTTCAGCAGTGAACACTATATTGTGTAAAATCATTTCTTTGTACAATGTAACAGTATTCTTTGAGTTATATGATAACGGGGATGAGGTGAGGTTGTACTTGTGTCTCGTTTTGGGGTGACTGAATCTATGCAGGACTATAATGTAATGTTCTTGACTCTTATAATTGTGCCATAAAGCATGAAGTTCACATTCATTTTCATCTAAGGTGGGAGATTGCCATAGATGTCTTAACCATTGAATTATGTTTAGTTTTACAGTTTGAGCTGTGTTGTTGCATGAAACATCTCAAAAAGTTATTTCCATTTCAACAAGTATTTTTATAGGAGTTCTAAAATCATAACTTTTGCATCATTAAAATTTAAAGAGCATGTTTCCGTACATCACTCAAATATATGAAAATTGAAAACCTCAAATTTCACACCATATTTATTAAACTAAAAAAAAAATACCATTACCATATAGTTAACAGCAACGCTTGCATTCTGCCTTTCATCCCGGACTAATCTAGATCGGGATGAATATCGGTCCCAGATTACGTCCCGGCCCGATTCGATCCGAGATGAAAGACAGAATGGGAGATCTCCATTCTGCCTCTCATCTCGGACATGCCCGGTCCGGTTCGATCCGGGATGACTATCGGTCCCAAAACACTTCCCGGTTCGATTTGATTCGAGATGAAAGGCATAATGAAAGTTCTTAAAAGATAGCAAATATATGTGTGTGTAAATATAAATTATTTTACCGGAATATTCTTATTTTACTTGTTTAAATAATTAGTTTTAAAAATTATTTAATTTTATTTATTTGTAATTTAGTTGGAATAAAATATATATTAATTATTTTATAAAATGAAATTAATTAGAGACAAGGTTGGGGTAGGACCAGGGAATAGATTATCTATTATTGGAGTAGAGAGAGAAATGAATTTTTGTAAAAATTTTAGAGAGGAATGATTTCGAGATAATATTATTTAGAAAGTAAGATATATGATAGAAATAATATTAGTACGAAAAATCAAAAAGAGATATTAGAGACATGAAAAGGAAAAATATAAATTTTAAGAGAGAACATTTGAAAAAATTTAAGTTGAGAGAAAAAATATGTTATAAAAAGAAAGAAAATAAATAAATAAACAATTATAGGAAAAATAGTTTGATATATTTGTTAGATAATAAAAAATATAAAAATGAGGGGAAACAATTATAATGAAAGAAAGAAATTGTAGTGAGACAAAAATTAAGTAGATGAAACGAGAATGAAAAGTTAGAGAGAATTTTTAGAAAAATAAAATTTTGAAAAAAACATTAAAATATTAGAGAGAAAAATGAAAATAATATGTTATAACATAAAATAAAGAAATAAAAATAGATATTACATTTTTTACAGAGAAAACTAATTGGATCGAACCCACATAATTAAAAATATATATCAATTATCGTTAAATCATACTCGTTGTATAAAACTTAATATTATAAGGATAAAAAATTTAAAATTTATGCAGTAAGAAAAAGCTTAAGGGGGAGATCAAGGTTTTATCCTTTTTTTTTTAAATAAATATTATTATTATTATTATTTTAAATTGTTTTTAGATCATAGTATCGGAATCCTTCCTGGGCAAGCCACGCAAATGATTCGATTCCGACTCCGAGCGGCGAATTCCAACTTCCGACTGTCTTCACCATGACGGAGCTCATCAACTTCAATGTTCTATCAACTCTGTTCGATTGGATTCAGCGGAGCAAATCTTCCGCCAAGAAGCGTTCCAAGTTCCGCAAGTTTCTCGACACCTTCTGCAGTTCTGCCGACTATTTCTCCGCCATCCGCTTGATTCTGCCCACCCTCGACCGGGAGCGCGGCACCTATGGCCTCAAGGAGTCTGTACTCGCCACTTGCCTTATCGACGCTCTTGGCATCTCTAGAGACTCCGACGACGCTCTTCGTCTTAACAATTGGCGCAAAGGCGGTGCTAAGACTGGAGCTAATGCCGGCAATTTCGCTCTTGTTGCTGCCGAGGTGACCCTTGCTTTTCTCCTTTCGTTTTTAACTCTATTGGTAAAGATTTAGCACATCTTTCTATTTAGTCATGTAATTTTTTATTTTGAACTCGTGGGGTTGATTAGATTAATTTACCCGTTTAGCCTTTCTTTTCATGTATTTAACTCAATGTAATTTATTAGTTGTATGATGAGCAAGAAATTCTGGAATTCTTCGTTAATGGATGAATGTTGATTCATAATGAGTATACATGCTTGTACCTTGGAATTAGGTGAATTTGAGATTTTACATGAATGCTATGGTCCAAATTTATACGAGTTACTTATTTTGAATAGATTTGTACCTTCTTTTTCTTGCTGCAATAGGTTTTGCAGCGCAGGCAAGGAATGACCCCTGGTGGTCTAACAATTAAAGAGTTAAATGATCTGCTGGACCGTTTGGCTTTAAGTGAAAACAGGTTAAACTTGATACTTAATTTTACATTTTTTTAAAAATTTATTTATTTGAATTTGGAACAAAAATTATTCAAGGATACAAACTCCCGAAGGAGTGAATTGAATGTAAAAAAGGAGCAAAGCTATAGTGAGAAAGTAAATACATCTCAATTCGGACAAATAAGACCATGCCAGTTATGTTCAAATTTTATAAACTGAAACCATTGAGAATCCCTGAATTTAGCTAGATCAAAGTGCTATAGCCAAGTTTACTATTTTCTTAAAAAAATCCTTTTATTTCTCACGAACCACAATTCTGAAAGAATAGCTTAGCTTTATTGAGCATTGATTCATATTAAATGGGCTCGAGGAGAAAGAACTGGTCCATAAAGAAGCTGAATCGAATTACTTTTTGTATCATTTTAAAACACCTATTTGAGATTGAACTATTAATGTGTGTGTTTTTTTTAAGAAGTATGAAATTACAATTATATCTTTGTGCTTGGAGCAGTGACGGAGCTAGTGAGGCTCTAACCAAGGCATCTATTGCTGGTAAACAAAACAAAATTTACAATTACAATTTCCTTTCCATCTATGTAGTCCAAACGAAAGCTCTAACAAAATGCATACAAACGATCTTTTTTTCCCTTTGAAAAGGGGTGTCCCGGAAGAGTGTAGGCCAAAAGGAGGTTTGTATCGGCGAGTAAAGTGGTAGACCATTTGAAGACAGAGAGCGTTAATGTCCAAAGCCTTGATATTAATTTGCATGTGATAAAGATGTCACATATGGCCTTGGGATTCATTGTTTTCCTTGTATAAGACTCACCAATGAGGTGAGATGCTCATGTATGGCATCATAGTTGAAGTTTGCATGAGTGGCTTTGATACTCACCTCCGTAAGGAAGAACTTCCATTTCTTTTGAATTCGGCCTTTGATTAGGATTTTAATTCTTATCCATTGGAGAATGCAGCTGATCAATCTGAGGGGTTACTCTCAATTAATGATAGTCTAGAAAACTTAAATGATCTCAACGTGAGTAGCATTGAATCTGAGAGTAATCCCTTGGAAGATGAAGAGGTAAATTCCTTGCACTTTGATGTGGAATATGATGGACTGGTTGATTTATTAAATGAAAATAATGTAGCAGGTGTGAAAGAGGGTTCTCCCTTCGAGTTTAATACAGATATTAATGATCTGAATTTTGTGATTGGTTCATCAGAGATCTTTTCCAAATCTCTTAAGGAGGCTAACGGTCCTATCATGGAATCTGGAAGTGTTGATTTTTTGACGTACTTAGAGGAAGTTGGTATATCCTACTTGAAATCAAGTCCAAAAGCATTAATCAGGATTAATTTATTCAGTACAGAGCTGATTCGTTATGATTTGACCAAGATTTCTCCCCATTTGTTTTCTTGTTAAGTAATTTGCAGTCATTGAAGATTATCTAGTGAAATACAAGTGGCCTAATCCTTCTGTCTACAGTCGAAGCAGTCTCAAAGTTGATTCAAAATGCCATCAAAGATTCTTTAGAGGAGGAAATTTCGGATTTTAATAATGATTCGACGGCTAGTGTCAGTAGCATTGATTCATAATTTGAAGGATATTTAGATGGCATTTCGAAAGATCCTAGCAAAATTGGGCTTCTTCTCCCTTCTGCAAGGGGAAATTCCTCTATCATTAGCGTTGAGTTCAACTCTATGGAGGCTCCGAAGGATTTTGTATTTTCCTTGGCTGAGTAGGGGTTCTTTTCGATATACCTTGTGGTGTTTAGTAGCTTTAAAGGGTACTGGTGCAACCCTTCTTGCCGAAGTATTCTTGGCTTTTTCTTCCAAAGTTTGGTCCTTGGGGCAGTGGATTAGTAGCTAGTCTTGCATTTTGATGGTTTTGGTCTTAGCTTCAGTTGCTCTTAGTTTTAGGGTAGGCTTTTTGTTCATTAATGTTCTATTTTGACCATTGTATTTTTTTGGGTCTTTTCTTTATGTTTTGGTTGTTCGTTGTTCCTTCCGCTCCCTTCAACCATTTGTATCCTTGAACTTTTTTCTTTCTTTTTATCTATCAATTCGTATTTTATAGGAAAAACTTTAATTTCTTAAAATCATTGAATCTAGTAGTAATCTTAACATATCCATTTGCCTCCTCGTTATCGAACTAATAATGTCTTGCTATAACTGTTGCCCGTGAAGTCAACGAATAAGGAAAACTTTTTGAAAGTTTCCCAAAAACTGAAGGACCAAATTGTAACATTTGAAAGTACCAGAATTAACATATGAGTACTGAGACTAAAATTGTATTTTAACAAATTGTTTATTATGGCTCTAGATCGGAGTGTTGTTTGCTTATTTGCATTTTCTTTACTCGTATATTTCTGAAAAAATATGAAGCTTTTTGTAATCTGTCTTATTATCAGATTTTCTCATGGCTAAAGAAGATATTTTGCTTTTCTGGGTTCTGAGTTTTGGCATAATCTTATTACACTGCGTCTCCATCTAAATATGTCTTTACCGCTTCACATTTCTCTGTTATATGTGATGGTTTTAAAAGCAGAGCAGAAAAAACTGCAGTTCTGTCTACTCTTATACAGAAGACGAATGCACAGGAAATGAAGTGGATTGTCATGATAATCCTCAAAGGTTTTTAACTTTTCTTACTACAAATATGTATTTCCAGATCTTGCAATAGTTCTCATACAGGCAATTTACTTTTTTAAATTTTGTATATCTTGTAGATCTGAAACTGGGAGTTAGTGAAAAGAGCATTTTTCATGAGTTCCATCCAGATGCAGAAGACTTATTCAATGTCACCTGTGACTTAAAACTGGTTTGTGAAAAGCTAAGGGATCGTAGAAAAAGGCATAAGCGTCAGGTCTGTTAAAAACGTGGAGCTAAATCTTTCTCTTGGATGACTTTAACAAGGTTTCTTTTGTTATTTTCCATCTTTGTTTTGTGTCAATTGAAGAATGTTTTTATAATTTTTTTTGGTTGGAGATTCTCGTATCCCCTAGACTTTGCAGATTTTCCCTTTCGATTAACTTGTTTTTTACCAGACAAAGAAAAGAAAAGAAAAGAAAATGTAACTCCTCTAGATTTTCACTATTTTCATATATTGTTTCGTTGTTCTATAATTTTCCTTTATATAAATAGGAAAACGGTTGGTAAGTAATAAATTGAAGGATTTGAAAGATAGAGCAATGAATGAAATAAGGCGTAGAGAGAGTTAAAGATTTGAAAAAAATAAAAATAAAAAGAGAGGGAGGGACCTTATAGATGAAGAGAGGGGAAAGTCAGTTTTGAACAAAATAGTACACAGAAAGGAGATATATAAATAAAGAGAGATGAAATTAAAATAAAAGGGTAGAGAGATTGAGGGAGGGGGGCCGGAGGGGAGAGAGATTGAAATACAAAGAGAAATATGAAGAAATGAGCAATAATGAGACTGATGGTAGTAGGCTTGAAAATTTACCTGTACTCGTATTCTTTGTCATTGATCCAATGAATGTCATCGATATTAGGTAAAACATGTTGTTGGTGATGCCACATAATATCTTTGATATTCCTGTAGTACATAATTAATGTTTTACATTTTTTTTTACTGTGATCTTAAAGGACATTGAAGTTGGAAAAGCTGTGCGACCGCAGCTGGCTTCAAGAGTTTCCAATGCAAATGCTGCATGGAAGAAGGTGTGAAGCTTTTACTGTAATATTTGTCTTCTGAGTTCGTTATTTATTTTTAATGGTTGAATACCTTGAAAATACAATAACTTAAAATCTTCAAATTGTCTACAGTTACATGGTAGTCTTTATTTATTTATTTATTTTTTAATCTACCATACACATCGAGTTTACTTCTTATAAATTTTATGTTTCATGCTCACCACGTTTCTCTCTGGCGCTTAGCTTCATGGGAAGGAAGTTGTAGTCGAATGCAAGTTTGATGGTGACCGTATTCAAATTCATAAGAATGGAACTGAAATACACTTCTTTTCAAGGTAGATGCACGTGACTTAAAGTTATCATCTGTTTCCATTTTTCCTTGTCTTCTTAAACCATTTGATGAAGCCCATACAAGTTATCCTTTCATTTGAACTCGCTGTGTAAGAAATTACAAAAATGGAATTAACATTTTATTAATATTGGTTGATCTACAGGTATACATCTGTGGTTCATTAGTGTGATCAATGTGGAAAAATTGACCTCCTACTCCATTTGCATTATTCCTTTTTTTTTTTTCTCTCTTTCTACATGTATTGCTCATCTTCAGGAACTTTCTCGATCACTCAGAATATGGACGTGGAATGTCTGATGTTATTGTTGAAAATATTATTGCCACTAGGTATCTTCTAATTTTTGGAAGCATTTATTTTATTTTATTTTTTGGCTTTTCCTACATTCTTGAAATAGCATGAGTTTCTTTAAAATGTGATCATTCATGGCTGCTATTAGTATTAGCTTAGACAATCAGGTTCTGGAAGATAAGAAAGTGTTTTTCCTTGGTACCAATTAAAGAAACAACTTAAAATATGATCAAATTCCAAAATATAAATAAGTTAGAGCATCAAACCATGTGCATTGCATGTGTCAAACCGTGAAAGCTGGATGTTCTCGATAATAAGCTTCCAAAGCCTTTTTTTTTCCCTTTTCATACAGTAGTAGTAGAGGTGTGACTTAAAGAGGACTTTAAATGCTAAGCTATGCTCATGTTGGCTTGCCCATTTTTGAAAGCAAAAAGTTTGGTCTTTTGAGGAGCTTGATGGCCAGCTAAGAAAAGAAATTAGATGAGAATTGATTTCTCTGCAGCTTGTTGTAGTAGAAGAGTAATATTCTTCAGACTTTCTCCCTGATCGACCAAATGAAGGAGATAAGGGTGTAGTTGTAGTAGAGGAGATAAAGATACAATAGGAGGGTATAACTCTCGTCATTGCCACTTTCTTACCCTTTTGATCTGAGGATAAGCCTTGTGAATCCTTCTCTTTTTTTCTCTAACATGCATCTCTCTCATGCGCACTCATCAACCAATGCTTCTACTGCTCTCCCTCTTTCTCTGTAGTGTATTACACTGTAATTTCTCTCTTATTCTCATATACTGTTTCTATTATTCCCCTCTGCAGTGTGTGTCTTTTAAATGGATATAAATACTATCTCCTGGTGTGCACTTATCATTAATGATTTTTTTATGTTTATTTATGAATATTATTTCTTAAAAATTCATAATATTCCGTTGTTGGATATTGTTTAGATTTTGTGTTTAATTTATATTTATGGATGTTAGAGTTGTTAATGATGATTTCTAGTCTATAAAGTGAGCTTTATTTGCTAGTTCAAATAATTTCTACGAGTTTTCGTGTGTCTGAGATTTTTCAAGATTTCTGTTTGGCATTGATATTTTTGTTAGTTCCAGACTTCCTTTTTTTTTACCTCTTTTTGACAAGAGACCTGACATTAAGAAGACAAAACTACCTAGAGTCTAGGGTGGAGGAAACCACCACCAAAGAAGACTCATGAGGGCTTTACGATCTAAGATTAATAAAAAAGAAACAGTATGGTTAGGGAACAAATTTTGTATAATGAACAAAGTCTCAAAAGGTATTTATAGGCTCAATTCTTTAACTTGTCTGGGTATGGATTTTTTCACTTTTTCCAAAATTGATGGCATTAGAAAATATCTCTACGGTGCGTAACTCAGATAGTGAAAGTTTTTTTATAGTGGAAAAATCTCAAGTTTCTGTCCAACCAAATGACCCACAAAAATGCTCGACATTTTTGTCAACGTCTAACTCCTTGTGTAAGTTTCTTATCCAAAAATTTGATGCACGCGTGATTATGCATTTGCACTCCTAATGCTGATCTTCCAGTGGACTACTTCCTTTCTTCCTGTAGAAAAAGGTTACAGTATTTTATGCTGTATAAAGTTCATTATGAATTTGAAGAATCGTAACTTTCCCTTGAATTATTTGTAGGTGTATACTTGATGGTGAAATGTTGGTGTGGGATAAATCTTTAAACCGTTTTGCAGAGTTTGGCTCAAACCAAGAAATAGGTGGTCTAGCTTAGATTTTTTTAGCTTCTATTTTTTTCGTTTGTGACAATTGCACCTTTTAAATTTTGAATTAAGCATCTAAATCTTCAGGATTAAAACTGGAAATTGACCATATATATTTGCTTATAACATACAACCTTTTTTTTTACCTCATTTTCAGCAAGGGCAGCAAAGGATGGATTGGACAGCGATCGTCAGGTCTTCTTTTGAGATAATTTACTTTTTTTTTTGCTATAACTGCTGGAGGATAGTAGTTTGACTTATGGTTCTTGTTCTTGTCTTTCTCTACTTCCATTGTGCAGTTATGCTGTATCCTTTTATTTCCTTTCCAACTGTACCAAGCTTGGAGGTTCAGTTCAATGTTCTGATTGAAAAAATATGTTTATAATTTCGTATCACTGAAATTGAAGTTATAGTTCTTATATCTTAACAAGAATGGACAGATGTTGCGTTCGATGTTCTTTATGTTGGAGATACTAGTGTTATTCACAGGAGTTTGAAAGAAAGACATGAGCTTCTGAGAGATGTAGTCAAGCCTGTGAAGGGACGATTGGAAATTTTAGTACCTAATGGTGGTCTTAATAGTGACTGTGCTGGTAAAATACATATCAATTTATGCCCTTATTTATGTTCGCTTAATATGTTGAAAGACATCTATCCTAATAAATAATTAAATCGGTTTTCTTGGGGCTTGGATTGTTTTATTTTTTAATTCTATATTTCCATACTTTTTTTTTTGAAAAGGAACCATGATTTTATTGAGAAATATGAAAGAAAACCAGGGCATGCAAAAAGATAGCCAAGCAAAGGGAGCCAAAATAAAAAGAGCTTGAATCTAACAAAATAAGACCTAACAGATAGTACAAAAACTTTACTACCGAGGCTCAAAAGAGAAATATGAAATCCAAAGAGGGATCAAACCTCCTCTCAAGATTTCTCCATCCCTCTAAAAATTCTATTGTTTCTCTCACACTAAAGATCCCATAAGATAGCCCAAACACTAGCGAGCTATATCATGTAAATACTTAAGAACTTTACTTTTAGATTGATAAGGTCTATGCAATAGTTTAATGGGAATAGGTCATCGTGGATGATGCATCTTAACTATGCTGTCATGCAGGGGATCCTTCTTGGTCACAAAGAGCTTATAATGCCGATGATGTGGAAAGATTTTTTAAAAATACCATTGAAAATAGGTATTTTTTGCAGTTTACTGAAAAGAAAATATTACAAATTTGTTATTAGGTCTACTGTCTTCCAAGTTCTTATAAGTTATATATGTTCTAATTTCCTGAGAACATTTGTTATTATTGGGAATTTTTGCTTAGAGATGAAGGTATTGTTATTAAGGACATGGGTTCCAAGTGGGAACCTGGTGATCGTAGTGGGAAGTGGTTAAAATTAAAGCCTGATTATGTTCGTGCTGGATCTGATTTGGATGCCCTCATCATAGGTCTTAAAGTTTTCTTGTTTTTCAGTTTGTTTGCATAAGCATAATTCTCATTTTTTTTTTATATCTAAATGTTTTGTTAACTGATAATAGGAGGTTACTATGGCTCTGGGCGACGGGGTGGGGAGGTTAGATTTTCTAGTAAATAAGTACGATGCATTTTCTTGGAAGATTAAGTCTGACACATATATTTATGAAGGTAGCTCAATTTCTGATGGGTCTTGCTGAGCGTTCACCCTCGAATGCATATCCCAGACGGTAAGATTCTCATGTCAAGCTTTCATTTAAGAATTGTTGTGTTGTTATTCTATTGAAAATTTGAAATCCCTAAGAAGCTGACTAGGTTTAATGCCTCTATTTGGGCTTCGGTTTTCGGTTTTTAAGGAGTTATGTAGTTACTGTTAATTCTATTCTTTTCAATCTGATTGCTGTTAGATCTCTTAATGACTCTTTTTCTATATTGTGCATTACCAGTTACATGTCCTAAGTTCTAGATCCATTCTCAAGGATTGAACATGCTTTGTTATCAATTTCATAGGAACTAGAACAATATAATTTGATTTTTATTTTTTCAACCAGAAACAAACTTTTCATTGATAATATGAAAAATAAGAAAAATGTCCAAGGATATAAACTCCCAGAGAGCCAAAAAAAAAAGATAAAAAAATAACCAACAAAGAACAAAGCTCAGGAAAATACAAGAGAATAAAAACATTGAAGAACAAACCAACCCAGAACTAGACAAAATGACAAACTAAAAAACCAAAGCCACATCCTTCAATCTGCAAAAGCAACACCAAAAAAACCTTTTTCCATTGTAATACCAAAAGTCTGATTGAGCAAAGGCCTTAACAACTTTCCTTTCCAGACTTGCTCTTCCCATCATAACTTGCTAAAGAGAAACCAGAACAACCACTTATCGAACAATCAAATATTTGAAGAGCTGAAAAGTAGAGAAAGATCTTTAATAATGTCTAAAAAGTCGAGTGGAGCTTCTGGTAAAGAGGAAGAACGGTTTAAAGAAGGAAAGAACTCCTCAAAGTCACTTCAAACTTCTAAATCAGAATCAGTGATACTAAGGCCGACTTCCTGATCCCCACCGAAATATCAAAATAACAAACTAACCACTGAGATCCGTAGGGAAATAAGTCTTCAAAGATTAATAGAATCTGTAAATCCTAATAATCTTGACTCTTCAAAGGCTATATAATTTTATTTGTATTAAAACTGGTATATGAAATACGAGCTTCTAAGTTCTTTGGGATACTTGGTACTCTTCCAAAATTACTCTCCAAAATGTTCACCCCCAAATCTCACAACTCACTCTATTTAACTATTAACTCTTAACGAAACTACTGAGTATTACAAATATGACACTACAAATATTCTTTATATATCCCTACTAGCATTACTAACACAAAAAGAATATATATATATATATATATATATATATATATCAATTAGGAATAAGGACAATGAACCAAAAGTATTAAAAAATATCAATAAGGCATGAGGTCAACGAGTGATTGTACAATGCGAACAAAAACCTGGCCGAACTTGAATACTAACAAGTAGCGAGATATATGTGTTTGGTCTAAGGAACAATATACAAGATCAGGTCAGCTTTACCCTATCACAGAATAATACAAGGTAACCATGACTCGGGAAGGATGTGGAAAAATTGTTCCAAAAAATGGACTGATGATAGGACTATAGAGGAACTTGCAAGAGACAGGTCTTTGAAGCATTTACCGGCACTTGTAGGAATTATGGAGAACCAGGGAAGAAGTCAGGATTTGGGGGACAAAGAAACACCACTTAACATATTTGGTAGGAAGGGGAGGAAAATGTAATTCTTATGCGAAAGGGAGGAAAAGATGAGGAAAGGAAGGGAAAGGAAAGAAAGAAATAAAGACAGTTTTGAGAAATTTTCTTAGTGAATGAGTAAAGTCATCTCCACCTTGCAGGAGGTGAGGAGATTATGAACTAGCATCCAATAGGACAACAAAAAGAGAATTTTACGTACATAATTGTTAATCTGTCAATGAAGTAAATTCAAGAGTTGAAGTAGTCCTGGATAATTTTGGAAATACTTCAACCAACTAAATGTGGGTCCATAGTCATAATTAAACTTCCAATGACTTTCAGATACTGAAATTAAAGCAAATGGATTCTTTTTAACTTCCACCATAATTAATTAAATATCTCGATGTAAGTTACAACTATACAAAAATTATTGCTGTTATGATAATGGCAATGATTATTACTGAATCAGAGTTAATAATTCTACTACATGTTTCAAAGTATCTTTTATTTAAAAAATAAGTCCGTTAGCATGTGGTGCTGATTAAGAGGTTCTTTAAATTGCAGATTTATTTCCTTCTGCCGAGTAGGAACTGGACTTACTGATGAGGATTTAGATGCTGTTACAAACAAACTGAGGCCTTATTTTAGGTATGAATTAGAAAATGTTCTGATCACTCATTTATGCTGCCTGTATTGACAGGTCCTACCTAATCATCTAAATTTTATAGGGTTTTGTGATTCCTAACCCATGGGAAACCATGTATTTCACTCATTTTAACCTCTTCTATGTATTTTACATTAAATTAATATTTCCAAACATTTCTTATTCACTTTGTACATAAATATAACTGGGAAGAAATTGATATATCTATTTTAAATCAGATTGCTATAGATTAATATAGTGAATCTTCAAAATTTGTAAGATTCAGTGGGTTTTTTACAATGTTCAAGTCAGAATTTAGTCTAGGTGTTAACCAGTCTGGTTTTACCTCCTTGTGGTTGCCTTCCTTGGGTAAACATTGTCAGAGCCATAATTTCAGAATTTTGTTGAAAAGATATCAAAGAATTTTTTAGGACAAATCCAAAGTTTAGGTGGAAAGATTTGATATTGATATGTTCAAAGCCTCACAATTTATTTGCTCAATATTTATTAGTGATATTTGTATGAATTGGAATGCTTTCATTTTCCCTCTGGCTATTGTATCTGTTATGTTGTCATTTCTCTTCTCTAGGATTCTCGTGTTAGTTCTTCATGGTGTTTTCTTTGAACACATTTTTATCTTTACATTATTTCAATGAGAAGTTCGTTTCTTGTTAAAAAGATATTACACTGCATCCAAAAATCACGTGGATGGTACTTCTAAATGTTTATAATTGGAATGATTGGGCATTGGGATTGATATTTTAGGAGTAGATGCCCAAACAATAATAGCCTATGAAATGAGGAGAGGGGAGTGGACTTGGGGGATTGCACACTGCAAGCCTGGAAATATTTAGGACGTGGTTGGAAATTGGTGAGTAGGAAGAATGGGTAAACAATGGGGACTGAGTAACATTGCCAAGTTGGATTTGAACCTACATATGAATGCCCAATAACTCAGCAGAACAAGGATTATCTTCAAATTGTTTATTGAAAATAATGCTATCGAATCATCATGTATAAGACCAAAATATCTGAATACCAAGTACATCCTTGAGTAAGAAATTTTTTTATTTATAATTCTTATGAAATTTAGAGCACGCCTTTTTTAAATGATATGAAGGAAAGGTCCCACCTGGAGCTAAAGCCAGGTCTCTTGATTCAAAGTCTAGATTGCTAACCACCACACCATGGAACCATGATTTTAATACAGAGCATGTCTTGTAATGGGCTAAAGCGGTTTCATCTTCATTTTGGAGTTCAGCCTCAAAACAAGAATGAGCTTTTCAAACATAGATCTGGTTCTGGTCATTTTGCTTGTTGCTGCACACAAATTGATAGACATTGCCAATCCATTGTCTGTAAGTTACAATATTTTGATATATCTCTTGAAGTACTTGCTGTCTCTTGTCAGGAAAAGTGAATATCCAAAGAAGGCTGCACCGAGCTTTTACCAAGTTACAAATAATTCAAAAGAAAGACCAGATGTTTGGATTGAAAGCCCTGAGAAGTTAGCATTCTGATAACTTTTTTGCCACACTCGTAAAGCTTTTGATGGTAGAGAAAAATGAATCTTCTTTGTCTCAATTTTCCTTTCAATTTTGCAGATCAATCATTCTTTCCATTACCAGTGATATACGAACTATAAAGTCTGAGGTGTGTTTTTCTACTATGATTTCTAATCCTTCCACTTATCTAGTTGTGTTATTATTCTTAAAGAATAAAATGGAATGTTTTCTCTTATCACATGGAACTCTAGCTTTAAATATTTACTTTATGACCTGGTTTTGTTGATTTATGCTGTTTTAGGTCTTTGCAGCACCATATAGCCTAAGATTTCCGCGCATAGACCGTGTTCGATATGACAAACCTTGGCATGAATGTCTTGATGTGCAATGTGAGAGAAATACTCTTTTTGAACGCTCTCTCTAATAAATTTAATTTTATCTTGATAAATAACCAACCCACAGGTAATATGTATATATATATATATATTTTTTTTTTTTTATTATTAGAGTAGAATCCTCCAGTTGTCTCCTTTACCCGCCTCATCATTGCATTACTAAAGTAACTTTTTCGGGAAAATTACATTTGTAGCTGTTTTTTCTTTTAGCTAACAAGAATGTATAGGTATAAAATAAATGTTTACAAGAAAAGAGGACAAGAGATCTTCTATCTAAAATGAGAAATAAAAACTTATTAAAATGATCTCCCCTTTTTTGTATCTACTCTTTGATAGTGAAAGTCTAGTTTCTTATAAAAAAATTTACCAATGAAAGTGAAAAAGAGCAATCTATCCAAATAACTTTCTAATCATCAGTTATCTCCTAATCAATTCAGTAATCCATCTTACACTTACTATGTGATAGGAATTGAAGCCATAGATTAGATTTACTTATGCTAGGAGGAAATCGGCTAGGTCTAAATAAATCCAAAATTAGTTATGCAGTAAATAATGGCAACTTAAAACGTGTGTTTAGTTTGTACAAGTGAAAAAAAAAAGTAACAGATAAAATTGTATTATGCTATGAGAAAGGAATATGTAGCAGGTTAGGAAAGTGTAGAAGGTTGTTTGTTTTGACGGTGGGAAATTCGTTCTGGGGAAAGGAATGTCCAAGCCTCTTGAAGAGTCTGAGAGAGTTTGTAATATGGTAGAATAAGAGAGTTCGTAATATTTCCATTGCACCATGGTAATGTAAAAGGATTCAATAGAACCTATCATTTGATTTCGAAGTTCTATTTTTAGCATGCAAAGAGGAAGGAAGATGCATAATTGGTTGGATGTAGTGGAGATTCGCATGAGAGCAATGACAAGGGAAGCACAGGGGATTATGAAAATATAGAAAACGTTGGTAGCTTTAATGGAAGGAGTGGGGAAGTTGTCACGACAATTGGAGCAAACAAATAAGATCAATGAGGGAACCATGGTCCAAGCTAAACTGGACAAAGGAAAAGCTCCAACAGAGAGAGAGAATCTGAGTTGTATTTGGAATTAAGCCAAATGCTTTGAGGAGGAGAAAAGGTATGCTGATGGGTGGCTTCTTCAGGTAGTGAAGTTCTTTGAACATGATCAAGTTTATGAGGAGGAAAGGATGGACAGAATTATGGTTAGTTTGGTGGGCAATGGCATAATATTGTTAGACGAATAATTGATGTTCTTTTCATAGCTGCACAAAATTTCAAGCAACCTCAATAGCACGGTTCTGATTGTTGCAATAGGGAACTCTTTATACACGTACTCAAGTGTTGAAGCAAGAAAGCACTGTACATGAGTTCTAACGTCAGTTCAAAATTCATGCGGCATCACTATTAAAACTTTTGGACATGGCTGTGGAAGGCAACTTCACTAACAGATTGAAACCTGAGGTGCGAGCAAAGCTCTGTGTATTGAGCCCCATTAGGCTCAGTAAAACGGGGGAGGTGGCTAAGCTCATTAAGGATCAGAACCAAATGCTTAAGCACGGTAAGTGTGGGTTCAGGTTCCTTGGTTGATCTCATAACCACTCTTCAAACAACCCTACTCCGATTCATGCAATATGTGGGTCTGAAGCAGACAACCACTTAGGGAGAAAAGGTTAATGTGACTAAGGTTTGTTAGTGGGAGCTTCATGTGAGAACAAATCATATATTCTGACTCTGAATTCCGTTGTGAGGACAAATTTTTTCCTTTCTTGACAAGAAGCGAGATTTTATGAATGGAAAAAACACCCTTGTTCAAAGATACAAATCCCAAGGGGTGAAAGAGGAGCACAATAAAGTAAATAACATAGAAWTAAARTAAAACAAGAGATCCATTTCTACATCAAGTTAAATGTTCGTTTACTATCTTCCTTTGAGAGTTTGGTTTGTATCCTTGAACATGCACTTCCTTTTCATTTATCAATGAAAATTTTGCTTCTCGTTAAAAGAAAAGACATACATTTGCATTCTGTACTCATGCTTCACTTGTAAATACTATGATTAAGGGCTGTTTAGCAACAACACCTGAAAATGTTGTCTTTGGCTGGCGACTACACCTGAAAATGTTGTCTTTGTAATTTGAATTTTTTTATAAAAAGAAACATAGATTTTATTGGATGTAGAAATGGTCATACATCTTTCTATGTATGGGCAGAAACCTGTCATGAGTTAAATAATGTAAACACAGAATTTTCTGGTGACCACACCTGAAAATGTTCTCTTTTTATTATTTTTCTTGTTAGTCTCAATTTTTTAGAAAAAGGATACACTTTTCTCTGTATGAAATCTGTTCTCACCTGGCTTTGAAATATAAGTACAGAGTTGTAGATTGAATCTTCCATTCAAACTGCCGAATCTCAATTAAACAAAACAAGCATGTTCCTATTGGTCCAAACATAATGTTAGTCTCTTCACAAACGGTTTTTGTAAGTTGTTTGAACTACTTTTCTATTTATGTTTCTTTATTGCAGCTTTTGTAGAGTTGGTTCATTCAAGTAATGGTAACACGCAAAGGGGCACAGATAATAGTGGCTGGCAAGATAGTAATCGAAAGTTCATTAAATCTACTGGAAAGAGAAGGAAGAAGAGCGTATCTGTTGTTCCTTCTCATTTACTTCAGACCGATATTTCTGGCATTAAAGAGGACTCCTTGATTTTCTCAAATATGTTATTTTGTATCCTAAAATTTAAATGACATTTTAGTTTATCTCTCTCAGTTAAATTCTGGAAATAATCATTAGTCTTTACATTGATATTTTTTTTTTGAAACATTGATATTAAAGCCCCATAAACTCAGTTACAGAGCTGTATGATGAGATGTTGGTAATTTTCATTTTGGCAACGTTGAACAAGAAATAAGCAAACTACTTGAGACCATTTGTGATTTATGGAAAATATTTAGAGAGGACTAGTGAAGATAATGAAAGTAGGAACTTTTTTGATGTTAAAGATGCTTGCTTGTAAACTTACATTCTTAAATAATGCCTTCATGTTTCATTAAATTTTGGAATAATGTCACATATTTTTTCTTATACTAATACTTCGAGTATATATGCTCTTTTTTTATTTATGAAACTGGGTCCTCTTATTTTATATCCCGACCGTATGGAGTATCCTTGGTTCTTTTGTACTTAATGGAAAGTGCTTGTTTCTTGTCAAAAAATAAAATAGAATAAATGAAAGTTTGGAATGAATTTGAACATGGCTAGATTCCATTGACGCTTTTGAAGATATGTTGAACCTTGACATATGCAGACATTGTTAATGTGCCTCCAACCCATTCTCTCGATTCCCTGCACAGATTGATTGTGGAGAATGGGGGTACATTCTCTATGAATTTGAACGATTCTGTTACACACTCTGTTGCTGCTGACACCAAGGGTCTCTCTCTCTCTTTCTGATTTCAAACGCTTATCACACATCCAGCTCCACATAGTTTTGCACTCACATCTTTACACATGCATGTGCTTTTATAACTATTAATTGGTGAAGAAATTTAGCAGGCATCAAATATGAGGCTGCAAGACGTCGTGGCGATGTTATTCATTATTCTTGGATGTTGGAATGTTGTTCCCAGAAGAAACTGCTGCCTCTACAGCCTAAGTAATGCAACCGTTACTCATCAATTTTTTTGGAAAATCCTCCGTTTGTAAACTGTGTAATGAAATGTTGAACTTCATGCTTTTCTAGGCATTTTCTCTTTCTCTCTGACCATTCAAAGAAAAAATTGGAAGAGGAAATTGATGCATTTTCTGACTCGTACTTCTGGGATCTTGAACTTGCAGACCTGAAACAGGTATGCCTAACGAAGATCATATCTAGTCCATTTTCTACTTCCAAGTGCAGGATTACCCAAGGGGTTGCATGTTTTTTTGAGGATCTCTCTCTCTCTCTCTCTCTCTCTCTCTCTCTCTCTCTCTCTGCAATAGATAGAGATTAACTTCTTTCCTGTCAGCTATTAAGCAACGTTAGTAGATCAGAAGATGTGAAAGCTATTGACTACTACAGGGGGAAATACTGTCCAAAAGATGAATGGAGTATATTTGTTGGTTTCCAAATTTACTTCCTTCCTTTAAGACCATCTTTGTAAGTTCTCCATATCAAGTCTTCGTAAAATTAACTGATTTAACAATCAATTTTGACATTTAATGGATAATTGTGTTGAGTTTCCATGATAACATTTTCTGTAGGAAATTTGATTGGGATGTTCTGTTGGAGCTTTCAATGAGGAGATTGAAGGTTGAAGTTTCATTCAGAGGTGGAAAAGTCAGTGATAACCATGTTTCTGCTACCCATGTTGTAGTCTTCTGTATACCTGGATCTTCCGTGGATTGTGAAACAGTATTGAAATGGTAATTGTTATTCTCAATGTTTTGTCTTGATTGTGGAAATTCGTTTTTTGCATCTGCCTTATAATGCTCAATCTATTTTAATCGTTATTATATTTCTTATATCACTTCTATATCACTATATGTTATCTTATTCTCTTTAGCTTTTGGAGGATCCCTAGTCCTTGACGTCCATTTGTGCTTGTCTGTTCCTTAATATGTTATTTTTCTTTTTTATGTATGAATCTTATATTTAATATTGCATAGTATAGAATTTTTAGATTGCTGAAAGGCAGAAGCCTTCTTGCTTCCTTTTCAGTTAAGTGGTATCACATCCTCTTTATATATATTAGATAAAGATTTAAATCCTCACAAACTAAAGAAAGGTTTTTTAAGGTTCAAGTTTAAACTAAATGATAAATACACATGGTATCTTGAACGACATGTTCTTGTGAGGTTTCCTTTTTTCTTCCATTCTAACTTAATCCAGGTTGACATGATTTTACCTTCCTATCTCCTTGTGTAATATTATGCTACCAAGGTTTGTACTATGTAGAGATGGATACTTGTCTTAGCTTGTTAGAAGGTCAAAGTTACAGTGACATAAACTCATTTGAAACTCACTCAAGCCATAACAGGTGCCTGAACAACCCGGTCTTAATGAAAGTGTGTGGTTTCATGAGAGGCTCCTAGCCTTCCTTTATATTGGTTTTTATGATACGAAGTCATTTTGATGATCATTACATTACTTTCTGAGATGATAATCCATATTTTGGATTCATGACTTAAAGACACGATTGTTTCTTCCTTGATCTTGTGACTATCTTAACAGGTTCCTGAACCTAGTTCGCAGCTTTCAATTTTGAAACTCATCATCTTTGAAAGGTTATGGTCTTTGTTTCTTGTCTTGAGCTCATGCTGATTCTATACCTATTCTCAATACAGCTTCAATGAAGCGGAGAAACATGTCATATTGAAAAATAAGATTCATATTGTTGCACATCAGTGGTTGGAAGACTGTTTGGAGAGGGCCCACAGGTTACAAGAAGATGCATATAGCTTGAAACCCAATTGGAAAAAGTCAATCGAAAAGTTGTAAGTTCGAACTCAATAACTTGGGATAACTTTTTGTGCATTTCAAATATTAAAATCTAACAAATATTGAATATATTCAATATCAAGATTAACGAGAAAAAATGTGTAGTATTTTTTTTCCCTTTTTCTTTTTTTTCCTATAAGGTAAAGTATCTAGTTATATTATTTCGGATGCAACACTGGTATATTTTCAGCTATCGTATTTAAAAATGGAAACATGGGATTTATTCACTTAGATGAGTTTCTTGTTATCTGCAGAACGCATTCTGCATAAATAGATGCTGATGTAGCATGCATGTCATTTTGTTTTTCCAGATATGAGATAAAGGCCTGCAAAATGTTATCAGCATGATATACATGTTGACTGACTAGTGACTGATGTCTCCATTTATTAATTTGAAGTAAATGAGTTTGTCATTGGGGTTCAACGTAAATCACTTCCTCTGAAATAGGATATATCGTACAACTTATGATTTTTTTTAGCTTTCATAAATTATGTTGCACTTTCCTAATATGGGGTCAAACTTAGTCACCACTTTCAGTTTTGATGTTTACTCGAACTCTAAATCTTTTAAAATTTTTACCTTTATATATTTTGTCCATAAAATAGGAAGTTCAAATTTGTCTCCTAGATATGATCTGCTATTACATCTGTGCCATGTTCTTTTGTGTGAAGTTAGGAATAGATATTCATTTATTGATTATGTGTTAATATTAACACTTCATCGATACTATTTTTTCCTTCTCATTATTCAGAGACGAAAAAGAGTACATATGTGATTTTCATTTTTTTTTTGTTGCAAAAGTGCCCCATTGTAATTGTAGAATTTATTGCCTTAAGAGTGGTTAACATTTTAGTCAAATTTTAATAACTGATGTAGATTTGTTTAAATTTTACTTCAATCTTTTTAAATTTGAAAATGTTATTAAAACGTAGAAAATATGACATGAACATCATATAGGTTTTCAAATTTCTATTAAATAGTTTTAACATGTAAGATCGTTCTAGTCGAAATATTCTGAACCCATAATTTAAGTAGAATATAGAAAATTCTCAAAATTCCTGATGCCGATTATAAAAATATAGATTTATGTGCATGCATTGCTTGGCTTCGTTTAATCAAGATATATGCACATCTTCTTTGGTTCTGGAATGGTATCATAGTTATTTCACCGTTTCTTCTTGATCTCTCTGCCTCCGCAGAAATTCTGACATAGATTCTGAGACACCATTGGCCTCAGAAAATACAGAAAACCAGAAAATTTCTTCTCCTTCCAATGCATATAAAGATCAAGGAAGAAATGAAGCTGCTTCAGGACAACACATGCTCTTACATTCAACTGAGAGATCTGGTGGCAAGAAAAGAGGAAAATCTACTGCAAGGAGCATGCAGAAAGGGAAATTGAGCGTCGAACAAGTTCGAAGAGCTCGGGCACGAACAGCCAAGGGGCCTGCAAAAATAAGTGAAGTTGAGTCAGACAGCAGTGACTATAATGATGAAAAAACAAATGCAGAGACTGAAAATATTGGAACACCATGCAGTGAAAACTTGAAAACGAATGAGCTTACAAAGCTGGAAAACTTTGATCCTTCACGAAAAGGCAAGGGCATTGAGCACGTGCCCTTATGTTCAACCGAGAGAACTGGTGAGAAGAAAAGAGGAAGAAGACCTACACCTACTGCAAGTGCAAGGAGCATGCAGAAAGGGAAAGCAGGCGTTGAACAAGGGCAAAGAACTCGGGCACGTACGGCCAAGGGGTCTGCAAAAATAGGCGGTGTTGAATCAGACAGCAGTGACACTACTGATGATAAAACAAATGCAGAAGGAAATGGAGTGGAGAAACGAAATATTGGAACAGTATGCCCAGCAAACTCGAACACAAATGAGTTTATATGGCCAGAAAATTGTGATTCCTCACATAAAGGAAAGGTCATTGAACAAGATGATCTTGCAGAATTTAAATCTAATGTTCCAGAAATTGAAATATCTACAAGGTACAATTGCCAAGGCATTGAAGAATCTGAGAAGCTGGAAGTCATGACTGATCCACTTCAGGCCATGTTATTAGATATGGTTCCTAGTCTTGGAATGAGTGAAACTAAAAGTAGCAGTACTGTTCTCGAGGAGAAGCAGCCAGTGCAAAACAATTCTGAGCCAACGAAGAAGAAAGTGAGCTATAAGGACGTTGCCAGTGAATTGCTCAAGGATTGGTAAAACGAGTATTGGGACTACTTTCTTTGTGTAAATGTTTCTAATGTGATAGCTTAACAAGGAGTCAAGTAAATATCATGTTGCAGTTCGACCGATCATTTCAACGCAGAATATTTAGTTAGTATAGGATGATTCAAAACACCTTAAAAAGTTTATCAAATAGGGTGGGTGAAGCGCGAGGGGATGGATGTCTAATCAATCTGTCTTGTATATCAAGTATTGATAGGAATGTCATGCATTCTCTCGTGTTATCAAGAGATAAAGAACGGATTTGATTGACTCATGAGAGATGAAATATTTAGTTTGGACTTTTTTTTATTTTCTTTCGCTCTTCTTTGTGTATATAATTTTGAAAATACTTTTGACCATGAATTTGAAAATTATGATGTATTTGAAAAAGAGAGTTAATTAGTTAAAAAATAACTTTGTACCATTTTAAAAGTCAGCAAAATCATTTATAAACGGGCTAGTTTTACGTTTATTAAGGCTAATTTAGTGGGTTATGCAAATGTGTCTTGAAATTTATTGATAAGATTGTCTTGTAATGCAAAATTTTTTAAATTAGGTCCGTTGGGTTGGTTTGGTAATGTTTTGGTTTCTTGGTTTGGTAATGTTTTGGTTTCTTTCTTTTAATCAGATAAAAATAGAATTGCATTTTGATACCTTTTTCTTGTTTCTTATTTTAATAAAAGAAGAAAATAATCATTTTTTGTGCCCGTTCTCTAAAATTTAAAATTAAGAAAATAAAGAATTTTAGGACAAAATGAAATGTTAGTTCCTAAATTTGATAAGTGTTTATTTGATCTTAAATTTTTAAAAGTGACAGTTTAAGCTCCAACTTTTAGAAAATTGTTCTAAATAGTACTGAAGTTTATTTCAGCGTTAGTTGACAAAAGGAATAATATTGTGACATAATTGAGTTGATAAATTATAAATGACAGTGACAATATTAAATAGTTTTATTATTTTTTTTAGGTGTTTTTTTTTTCTCATTTTTCTCTTCCCTTCTCTTCCTCTTTCTTCGTCTCTCTTTCTTCCCCTTCTTCTCCAATTTTTGCTGTTCTATTTTTCTAATTCTGTTTGATTTATGAAACCATTAGAAGATAGAGGAAGATAAGGGGAGGTAAGAATCCCTACATTGATGTAGTGAAGAATTCCCATTTTAAACATGGTCAAGGTCAAACATGAAAGAAAAAAGTTTGCCCTAAAATCTTTACAGAAATTTTAAACCTTCTCTTCCTCTATCTAAAAAAATATTCTTTCATAAATCAAAGAGAATTAAGCAAGCAACAAACGCCTAAAACGATGATTGATTTCATAAATTGTTTTGGTTGGTTGATGGAGAAAATCAGATGGAACAGCAAAAACTGGAGGAGAAGAAGAAGGGGAGGAAGAGAAGGGAAGAGAGGAAAAATAAAAAATAAAAAAATAAAATATTATAGCTATGATAAAAATAATATAAATATTGCCACATCATTTTATAATTTGTCAATCCAGTTATGCCACATTATTGTTTCATTAGTCAAGGTCAAATAAACTTTAAGGATCATTTAGAACCATTTTCTAAAGTCAAAGATAAAACTATCACTTTAGACACTTGTTTTCAAATTCAATGACTAAAAGTGTATTTTTTATCCAAAATTTTAATCTTAAATCTTAAATTTATTTGTAATGTATTATGTTTTATAAGTCAACCATAATTTAAATAATATTTTTATTTATATTTTGAAAAATAAATGTTACAAGTATTGGTACACCTCAACATTATGGTTTAGGAAAGTTAGTTACTACACCTTAATTTTATGGTTTATCAAAATTAGTTATTGCTCTCTCACGTCTCAAAAAAATGTCTAATGGAAGAAAAGTGTTGACATATAATTATAGCATGAAAGTCTTAAAAGATTTAACGATAACATAACTTTTGAAAATTTTAGGATTGTTTCTTTTTTCTTTTTTTTTTAATACAAAAATTTTAGGATTGTTAGAGCCAGAAAGACGAATGGATTGAGATATTAATGAAAGAGTGAAATAAATAATAGATTGAGATATTATACAATTTATATATATAGTTAATTGACGCTTATAGGAAATGAGTAAACTGGTTTATTTTTAATTGATGAGAAATAAAGAAATTTTATTAAAATAGAAGGACAAAAATATAATGCGAAAATGTTCTTGACATAGAAATTGTTTTCCTCTCAATATATTTGGTGGTCACACCTTCAAATATTAAAAAGAACCCAACCAAAACGGTAGGTTGGGTTGGGTTGGGTTGGATAAAGACTCGGTTCGGGTTGAGTTGTAGGTTTTGCAAACTGAGTGGTTCAGTTCGTGGGTTTACTTTTAAAAAATCAATTTAACCCAAATCGAACCAAAATTATTAATATGTATTTTTTTTATATAATTACTTTTAATCTCAACTCTTCCTTTCCTTCCATCTACTTTCAACATCTTGTTTCATCTCCTTCTTGTTTTTTCCTCTCCCCTTTCGAGTCTTTTGTCGTCTACCATCACCCTTGTTCGTCTATTTATCTTCTCATTTTCTCCTCTCTTCTCTCAAATCTTCATCGTCGATCATTAGCCACATATCTACTCGTTGCCCGTAGTCATGACCCACAAATCTGCTCGTCGTTGTCGTGAAGTAGGTTCGAATATGCTCGTGACTCACAGATCGGCTCGTCACCCACATATTTGCATCTGCTTGTCGTCCCTCGTGTGAAGCAACCCCACAACCCAACCCGAAATTTTTGGGTTGGGTTGGCCATCGAAATTGGTTTCCTCGATTCCCTGATCTGGTCGGGTTGGTCCAAAAAACCCTCATAACCCGACGCGATCCAACCTAACTTATGAACACCCCCCTACTTGGTAACAATAGTAAAAATATCTACTCCTTCCCTTGAAGTCAGAGATTCAAATTCTCACACCTCCAGATTTGTTGTAATATAAAACACACACACAAAGTCATACCAACTATAATGAAATATAGAACACTATGTAAACTTAAATTGAAATGAAATAGCAAAACTAAAAGAGTAAATCTGGTTATCAAACAAAATAGAAAATTTGATTGTAAAACAACCCTCTAAATTACCATCCAAATTCCAAACAACTTTCAAGGCTTTATTGAAATAATATGTTATACCATAAACTTTACATTTAATTTTTTGTTTATTTTTTGGCTTGTTAGGCCTTAATATCTCAATGTATTAGTTAATATTTGGAATAAATCAACACGTAAACTATTTAAAAGTCCTACTTACCTAAATAGTTTAAATTTTAATAATTTACGCATGTGTGAATATAGAAGTATGTGTCCATGTAAAAATTACCAAACTAYCCATATTTATATATTTTAAATAAATAAATAAAATGCTAAATTCAAAATACAAAATCCTAAACTCTAAACCCTAGACTCTGTTTCATAGAGAAATAAAATTTTAAACCCTAAATTCAAACCCTAGACGCTAAACTTTAAATCCTAACAAATAATATACACAAACAAAAAAAATTCAAGGAAGAACCACATAAAATTAAATAAGAATAAGTGAGTTGATTAATTATTATATTTATTTAATTATTTATTAAAATATTACCATTTAATAATTAAAGTAAACACTTGTATTAAATGACTATTGATTCTCATTAGAAAAAATACATTTTAAAATAAATAATTTGTTCAACTGGACGTTCGAGAACAGTCCAGATTAAATAATGGAAAATCAGTTGTGAGATTTATTGAGAGGAAATAATACGGTGTTGTAAGGTTTATTTGAGCTTTGGTGTTCTTCTTGTATCCAACGGACGACAGTTAATCAAGAAGCTTGAATGGCCGAGATCTTGACAGGGCGTCATAGGAAAGTTTGGAAATTGTTGAAAAAAAAAGTTTCCCAAACGATCTGATTTTCAAGCCCAGTCGCGCCTTTTTAGAAACTCTCTTTTTTGTCATTTCGATCATACTTGCGCCCCATCCGAGAGTGATGAAAGGCGAGTACAATAAATTGGTACTCTCAAGGGTGGTGTGAAGGTGAAGCCAGGTGCAAGAAACTTTTTTGTCCTATTGTGTGAAATTACGAAACCGCCCCTCTGCATGTATTAAATGAGTTCTTCACCTCTTTCTCCCAGTACAGCTGTGTGGCATTTTTGGTTTTTTAGGAAAGTGCTTAGACTTTATTTAAATTATTATTTCTTCAAAATTCGAATTTCATCCACCAATCAAAAAGCGCCACGTGGTACAAATAGTTATTTCATCCACTAACGTGAGGTTGAAAATCGGAGAAAAATGGAAGAAAACTTTCAAAAAGTTCTCCAACTAGAGCTGAAATTTTTGGAAAAATTTTAAAATGCTTTTCTTGTAATTTTAAAGTTGTTTTAAGAGTTTTTATTTGACTCATGGAGAGCTTTCCATATTTTTATTGTAAGGTACATAATTTATTTTCGCAAACAATTTGGTTTAGTTGCTGAGTCCAGTAAAAACAAGGTCGATTTTGATATTTGTTTAGAAAATGTTAGAGTTTAGTTTTAAATCTTACAAGTCTGTAAAGTTTGATCGTGATTCCGCAAAAAAGTAAGGTTTGTGATCTTCAACCCAATAAACGGATCTAATTTAGTAAAATTCTCAAGAGGTGTTCGGGAGCGGAGTAAACTATAGTAAGTTGTGGTTGGTTGAACCACTATAAATATGTTGTACAACATTTTTCTTTCCATTTACTTTTTTTTTTTTGTTTGTTCACCACCCGTACTCTTATCATATCAATTCGACAGTTTTGATCATCTATTATATTTTAGTCCTTAAATTTTGCATATAATTCACATTTCTTCCTTTTCTGTAAGAGTCGTGTTCACTTGATGACTCGTGATATGAGGGTCTATCAAATTCAGCCGGTAGTCTTTACCATTGTTTTTCAATAATTATTTACAAAAAGAATTCAAATTCATTTGAAATTCTAAATAAATACGTGCCCTACTATGACACATGATTTCAAATACTTTTTTATATGATAAGTAAATGAATAAAACGTGTGCATTAAAAAATCAAAATACTTAAATATACTACCACAAGATGTTTCAAACATTTTTCGTGTAATAAATAAGTAAACGAATAAAATATTTGTCTATATCAAGTTTATGTAAATAGAAAATGTCTTTTATGAAAATTATAAAACTAAAAAATAAAAAATTGCTAAAAAGTTATAGACCGTAATAGAAAGAACATGAAAGTTTAGCAACAAAAATATGAGTTAAAAAAAACAAAAATAAAAAATTGGAGAAAGAAAACAATTTTGCAAAAATCATTTTATATTTAGTGAAGTGGGTACACTTTGG